GGCTGCATGTCTTCAGCTTTGTCGGTTTGGACTGATGGCTTGGAGGGCTGGATTCCCATCTACCCCAAGATCTAGAGGTTCAAAACCTACAACTAAGGGTCACCCGACGCTTGTCAAGACTTGGAACACCCGCCCCCCTCCAAATGAGTTCTTTTCAGTTGTTGCAAAGGTGGGGTCCACGGCTCTTCCCGCCGGAACACCGCCCATTTCCGGAAGGGACTTGCGCCGTCGTGCCAATGGCTTGTTGGACCCCAGTGCTGCCTCGGGCCGTCCATAATTTGGACTCAAATCAAACCGGGGGGAGGGCACGCCCTGACACATCTCTCACGGACCGTACAGGCTCAGGCGACCGGTTGCGCCATTCTTTTCCAAACCAAGCTTCGAGTCATTGCACAGCGTCTAGATATTGTTATTCTCAGTTCAGCAACAACAGGCATGAAGGTAAAAATCTGACCCCCGAAAAGGTAGTTCATGCTAGTCCCTTTCAACCACCCAAGCCTCAAGCAAAATGCTCACCCACAGAATAATAATTACGGAAACATGGCCAGAAGGGGCCAGCAGACCATGGGTTCACAGGACGTGTGCTAAGTACATCCAAGCCTTGGAGAACTTGGCAACGTGGTGAGCCTTCTGTACGGCAACAGACCCGCCACACGTTTCGACTTCCGAAGTTCACCGCGCCGGCAAACAACTGCCTGGGCTGGCCAAACATCGAAACGTGGGGCGACCCGACCACGGGCTGCCCACAAGCAGGCCGACAAGCCTCCGAGATCGGATCCAAAAGCGGCCGGAACGGCTGGTGGGCGCCGGCTTCGGGTCCCGATTGGATGTTAGGCTTGCGAAGCGGGGCTCAGTCCCATCTTCACCGAGGAAAAGCTGAACGTCCAGAGACATCGCTTGCGGCCCCGCGGACGGCCCCCGCCTTTCGCCGCTTTCCCGGCGCGGGTTGCAACCGCGGTTGCAACCTGGAGCTCCGGGGTCCGGGGAGCTGAGGCCAGGTGCCCAGGCGCCTTCTGGGCGGTTTCCCTTACCAACCTCATACCATGAACATTGTATGGACCAAAAGGTCTGACTTAGCGGCTGGGCCTTTTGGACGTCAAAGACCCATAGGCTGTGCGCAGAACGAAACGGGAAATGCGCTGAATTCTTGGGTCAGTGGACCATTCCAAAGAGTAATGGATGCTTTTGTTGGCAACTGACACGCGGAAATGCAGAAGACCTGCCTTCCACTTGCGAGCTCAGTTGGGGATGGCATGGCATGGAATCACCCTAGGCCTGGCTCAGGCAAAGCTGTTTTTGTGGCGGATTTGTAGGGCTGGCCGAGGCATTGCTTATCAGGTTGATTTAGAGTAGCGCGATAACTGCCAAACAAGCCATCACGGCCACTCCAAAGCATTGCCCGCGACCAGTCCTCGTCCATATTGTTAGGTGTGGCTTTGCTTTGTGGAACGGGCCCCGTTTTGGTTGGTGTTCTAGGTTGAAACCAAAAGGAAACCGAAAACCCGTTCTAAGGGTTCTCCGGGTTCTCCTTTAAGGCAAAACCCTGAGAAGTTCTACCTTGAACCAGCCCAACGCAACTTTGCCAGCGCCAAATTTGCCATGTCCCATCAAATCATCCAACTAGACAGCTCCCCAATTCGGACCGATTGAGCGAAACCGATGGAAATGAACACCTAGTGACAGTCCAATGTGAAAATTGCCAAGCCCAGAGGCTCAGGAAAGGTTAGAATGAGGTCGGAGACGTTTGCTTTTGTTGCGGGCATCTTGCCCAGGGTGGTTTGAAGCGAAATCAAAAGGAGCACACCCTCCCCTACTTTGACACATATCTAAATGGAAACAAAAGCAAGCGTCTCTTTTCTTAAGGGGAACCCCTGTTTTGGGATAACCCACTGCCACGATTCAAGCTAAGAGGGATCCTTCCTGGCATTCTGTTCTGTCAGGGACATCTTGGGACCAGTATCCATGCTGGCTCAAGGCAGGGGATGAAAGAATGACCCCTCTGAACCCTACTCAGAACCAGCAAGAGCAGTGTTGGACAAATGAATGCAGCCCATGCGTTTTATCGGCAAACAGTTGCATGCATGTAGACATCTCTGGGCTCAAATCCTCACCCGACTGTTGAGGCCTTGTGATTGCGATTCTGAAACACGAAATCCTCCCTTGCAAAGAAAGGCATAGAAAAGCGCAAACTCAGGAAATGGAAAAGCCACTCTGAGAAGGACCTTCGAGGCATCGATCTTTCCTCTTTACGGCATCGGGGGAAAGGTCTGACTCCCAACTTCAGCATAGCAACAGCTCGGCGCTAACAACGAAAACTCTAGCCCACATAAGGCGCAAACTCGACCCCACTCCCTGCGCCCTACGCAGCTTCAGGGAGGCCATTTCTGTACTGGGCGTCCAGCACCATCCAACTGGTGTGTTCTCCTGGCTCACGGGGAGCCGATCGGAATTGGCAATGAACCGCTTGGGATCCCTTGACGGACCTAACGGAAACTACGAGGTGGTTCAGAGGGGTCGTTCCCTCGTTCCTGGCTGAGAGCCAGCAAGTTTCATCAAATCCTGATGACAAGAACCATGCGCCGTCCTTTCACTTGCCCTTTAAAGCACCCATCAGAAGGGGGCTCCTGGTTTCACGCTGGGTGCGTATCGGCCCATTCCAGTGTAGGGTTCCATAGTGTGGGACCAGCAAACTTGCAATGTCAGCTCCTGATTCATCCACCCCGCAGCCATGGGTACCCCAGCCTGAATCAATAACAGCACGCGCTTGTAAATCAGGGCCCACCAAACCCATTGTATTGCGGCACACGCACTGGACTCCCTTTGCTCGACCATCACACCACGCGCACCCCAAGTAGCTGGGCTTCCCGGCAACAGGAAGGGCCGATAAACACCAGCGCCTCACCAGGCACGAAGCTCCCAAAGCGTCCATGTCGACTCTTCAAATCGTACTCGACATCTTCCCATCGGAGTCGACTTGCGCGGCATCTTTGGGGACTCCGACCCAGGCGGAAGCCCCCGGAAACGAAGCTTTTGGAAGCCAGAGCAGGCAGAAGCCACCAGATCGCATGTCTGAGCTGCTGAAAGCCCGGAAAATGCGTCGAAACCTATGCCTCAGCTGTTGCCCAACCACTGAGTCTTCTTGTGTGCATCTTCAAATCTAGAATGGTTCCAATGGCGGTCCCGGAAACTTCTCTACCTTGGGATGGCCCCTTTAACTCCCTAGTCGTTTGGGCCCAAAAGTTTACACCCAGCGAAGCAGCGGCCCGGTCTCTGCCTCTCTGGTGCACAAGTTCCGCAAGACTCCTGGCTCGAGCGCCAAAAGAAGTCGCGAGACGGCCGAATTCGCGGACTTCCGCCTTGGATAACCCAATCGCCCAGAGCGGCCCTGGAAAAGCAGCGGAACAAGCCGACCGCCCAGTAAAACCTGACAGAAAAAGAACATCCTTTTCGATTAAGAACAGTAGGGATGGACCATTGCGTTAAGGGAGAACCCAAACAAAAACGGGTTGAACAAGGGTGGAATCTACTGAACAACTGGGATAAAGTCTGGCAATGTTTGGCATTGTCCCCCCACACAAAAGTCCAATGCCGTTTTCCGCTGGTCGCCTTGGTTCAGCGATTCATCGCCGAGAACCGGGCCGCAAATCCAACAACCTCCTCTGTGCTCTACGGTTGTGGGATTTTGTGTTTTCATCCCCGTTTCTCCGGGTGGCCAAGGGGGCAAACGTTGTGGGAAAGGAGGTTTTGGCAGATTTTGGGTGGCCAAGGCTCCTTCAAGTTGCTTCGGGAACAACCAATCTACGTTTTTGTTTTAATGTGTGCCGTTCGTTCTGATACAAGCTTGTTGTCGAGGCGATGTTCGTCCGGCACGCCTGTCAACCGTGGGAAACACCTCACGTTGACACAAAGGTTGAAGATCTGATCTGGGCATGTCCCAAGAAACAGTACGAACACCTGCAGCGGTCCCCCCCTGTCACTCATCCAGAATCTCTCGCGTCTCCTGCCAAGTAATTGCCTGTTCCAGAACCCAAGACACGACTGGGGAACGAACCCACACACACACACGTACACCAGCAAAATTATCTTTGTGCCTTCTGGTCCAAGATGTTGTCCACAACCGCTACTCCCGTACCACTGTCAATAGGGTGTATGACATGTGTACGTATATGTACACATCTTATACACACCATTTATACAGTGTTTGATGGTGTGGTTGTACACCCCGTTCCTTGGCGTGGAGACATTTCAGATCATGAAACAGACTGGGGATCGCACCGGCGTCAGCGGCAGGTGGCCACGCACAGCTCGTTACTGGTGAGCCTTCCGGCCTGAGGATTCGACGAGGGTGGGACGGCCAAAAGGGCGGTGAACATGTGTTGCTTGGAAGATGCCCACCGAAAGGTTGCGGTGCGCCACAAGGGGCAAGGGCTACTTTTGGGGCTTCCACACGGCTAGGCCAACCTTCACAGGGAAGTGAACATGAACAACTACTCCGTGTCTTAAAATCGAGGCCACCGGTGCTCGATTTTGCGTCAAAACTTTCAGCTAGCAGTCAACAGCCATGTCCATCGCGTGAGCCTAGGTGGCGGGAAGTGACTAGGACGAACCTTGAGATCCCATCAATGCATGTGTAAAGCCTGGATTCCTTGTGTAAACGATATAATTGTTAACAATACGAGTACTATTCTCCACACCATGGGCAGAACGCCAGGCGGCCGCAGCATCTGTTTCTACCGTAGCACAGTCTTCGCAATGCTCCACAGAATTCAAAAAATCAGCTTGCCGCAGGACACTGGATCCCTGCTGGGTTTGAGACTCGCAGAGCTCAACTCCTTACCGTAGGCCGACATCCAGCAGCCACCAGCTAGGGCGTGGGGAAAGGGCCTGATTTCGACTGAAGCTTCAGCATCAACTTTTGACACTTGAGCGGTGAGCGAACAACAATCCCTCCCCAACACCCTCCAAGCTCGGAGCTACAACGTCCAGGGGGCCTTGCAAATTCAGTTGCCCGGGCCAATGTGCTCCAGAGCTGGAAGAGGTCCGTCCGACGCGCTGGCAGCGCTCTCGGCTGCGACAGCTGAACCGGAGGTTACCAAGCCATAGCTCTCAATGTGAAACATCTGCACAGATTGATCCTCCTCGAATACCACCTCGTATAAGACTGTGCACTCCTGGCACTCTGCTCCCTCGAAATTCACTCGAACCGTCCTATGTCCAAACTCTGTTTGCGCAGGGTGGCAAGATGCGCGGCGTCGCAACTAGCATGGAGCCCATGAAAAAGGGGACCGCCAGTGTACAAAGACTTTCCCAGAGGGAAATGTTATATTTGTGTAGGAGGCTGAAAGCAGGGGCTATCAAGAGCTCAAGCGCAAGCTCCTGCAGGTGGGAGACCTTGGTGAGCTTCTGGTTTTTCCCACCCACAATGACCAGGTCACCCTCACTCAGCTGATCTGCACGTTGGGCTCCCTGGCAGCCTGCAATGCGCTCGAAACAAGCTGCACTGACCCACCGGATATGTTCTTTCATGTCAGAATAGTAACAGAAAGATGGACGAGCAACCCAACGCCCAAAGCACCTCCCAGAGACTCAAAACCACACAACGACAGAGGAAACCCCGAAGAACCCTCGCAAACTTCATGCGGCAATCAATCAATGGAGGCAAATGTGGCAGGCGGTGAAGAGGCGTGTCCCAACTGCAATTTGCCCTTACGCGTGCCCCACCTGGCCCAGGCACTGCCACGCGATGATCCTTGGACACTGTGAAGCGCCCCTGGCGCGTGGTAAGCTCCACCAAGTCGTGGGGCCTCTTGCGGTGCGCCTCGATGCGAGCCACCTTGGCGTCAGTCAGGTCGCGCAGGCGCACACGGTCGCCGATCCTCAGCTTCTCCACGCGCAGCAAGTGGCCGTCCGCTCCCGGCAGGACCGTGTTGGGTGGGAAGCACTTTGCCGATCGGCTGCTCGCATCGCTGATGGACTGTGCATCTGACTGGTCTCCAGTGCTAACAAGAATAAAGGAGTTGGCGGACTGAACATCTGATTGATCTCCAACAAGAGAGGAGGAGTCCGTGATATTGTTGAGGACCGGGGTTGCGCCTGAGGCCAGGTACCCCACATGCTTCAACGATTGCTGGTAAGCCGGACTCTGAACAGTTGCTGTGATGGATTTCAACATTTTTGTTTGGCAACCAGCGGGCCTGGAGCTTCATCTCGAGAATCGCTCGTGTCAGGGTGGATGAAGGCCTCGTCCAACAGAAGTGGCACATCGTGTTTCCACAGCTGACTCTCACATGTTGGGATACAACTACATGCCCTTGGAGTAGCTGGCCGGGAATGGCGTCTCTATGTTGTGCAACCACCAGTATGTCATTCAGAACATGATATGTCCGGTTGGTTAGTATCCCAAGGTGTGGCATTTGCCCGGATGGGCCTCGAGCATTTGTTGAAACGAGCTAGCAATGGAACTTAGTGGCGCATAAAGAAATATATTGCACGCCGTAAATAATGTACCTTTTGAAGACCCTGAATATCATTATCATATATTATCATATATTTTTAGGTTGCATGTCATCATGAAGTTTAGCTGGCCTTGGGTGCGTGGTCAAATCCTAGCCATGGCCAGCTTCAGGCTCAATGGCACGAAGCGTTGCCCAAACGCGGGGTGATAGCTGTTGTTTGAATCCGTTTCTCGCGGACCTGATTGTCCCTTAAGAATCTATCTTTCGCTCGAAACTCCTCCCACCAGTCCAAAAGTGTACAACTTGCGCAGGGCAGGTGTAAACCCCTTGGACTGTCATGCCTCATTTGAGTCGCGAAAAAGTATCATTCCTCACAACCACAACATGGGCCACATACGGCGATTTATTCGTGCTGGGGCGCCAAAACATGGTTCTCACGCTGCAAAGCCTCGACTTTCTTCATCTCCTCTGCCTTCTGCCGCGCCAACTCGTCCAGCTGCTTCTGCAAGTTTTGCGCGATCTCCGCCTTCTGCAGCTTCTCCGTCTCAAGCTCTTCCATCAGCGAATCAATCTTCTGCTGCAAAGCCTTGATCTCATGCTGCGCGGACTCGACTTTCTGTGTTTCCTCTTCCTTCTCCTGCGTCAGCAGCTCATAGCGGCGCTTGGACTGCTGCAGCTGCTGCCCGATCTGAAGCTCTTCCATCTGCAATTCCGTCTTCAAAGCCTCGACTTTCTGTGTTTCCTCTTCCTTCTCCTGCGTCAGCAGCTCATAGCGGCGCTTGCACTCGTCCAGCTGCTTCCGCAAGTGCTCCTTCTCCTGCTGGATCTCCGCCTTCTGCAGCTTCTCCGTCTCAAGCTCCGCGGTGAGCTGGTCGATTTGGGCTTGGAGTTGCGCGTGGGCGGGCGGCGGGCTCTGCAATGTTCCAGGCCCAGGCGGGGGAAGCAAGCAGACATCCAAGAAGTCCACATAATCTGAATCCTCCAAGTACAACTCCAACTGCGGCTCGGAGGATTCGAAGGTCGCCTCCAGCACCAGCCTCTCCCCGCCCGTCTCCGCCCACAGCTCCCACCGCCCCGCGGCCTTCTCCCAGCGCAGCCGCACCGAACCGCGGCCGGGGAGGTCGTGGCGCTGCCACCGGCCGCTCGGAAGCTGCTCGCAGAGCCAGCGGCCGTCCTTGTCGAAGCCGACCTCCGCCACGTCCCTCGGCTCCGCCCCAGGCAGCAGCTCGCGGAGGAAAGCGGAGCAGCCCCAGGCCCGGGTATGCAGCTCCAGGCCCGCGGCGCCGCTCGCGGGCCACGGCGCCGTGGAGCGGCAGCCGTCGTCGTCCTCCTCAGCGTCCACGGGCGCCTGCCACACGTGCTGCAAGCGGGCCATGGCTTGGGACGCTGTGAGAGGCGAAAAGGCGGAGACTTCTGAGACTTTTGAAGCCAGAAATCTGCTCAAAACGCACTCCGAGTCAAATCAAAACATCTTCCGAGTGCCAAGATCAACACTGCTCCAGCTTGCACTCGAAATCATCTACATCCAAACTGCAGAAGCCTTGGCCGGCACTTGCGCGTCAAGGCCCCCGGCCCAAACTGCGTGCCCTGCTTGTTGCAGCTGGAAGCCTTGAGGCCGGGCAGCTGAGCAGTCCAAAACTGACCAGGCGCTTCTGGCTCATGAAGAACTTGTGTTTGCTTCGTTTGACATGACTATAGCTCTGACCTTCTCACGATACGCTTCCATCCCGAACCCGAAAGAAAGTCTGATACACACAACATGGCATCCTACGCACTGAGCTTTGGCTCTTGGGTGGGCAGATTCATGACCTCAAGAAATGAATATTTTCCTTTGGTCTATCAAACCAGTTGCTCCTTAAAGTTCCTTTCTTTCTCCTTTGGAGAAGCTGTGTTTTGTTAGTGTGAAACTGAAGCACACATATCTTGAGAAACGCAGATCGTCTCAACGAATAGAATCCGATAACTATTTTGAAACAACACCAAACAATCCGGTCACCAATAAATAACTAAGCCTGGGTAGTGGAACTACACTAAAGGGCGATGTCCAAGCCGGATCCGGCATTGAACTGGGCTTGTAGCCGAAACCATTCTTTCCAGGGACCCGATGCTTTCTGGCAACCACGAAACCGCTAGACACACACATGCGCACACACACACATATTTGTGTGCGAAGAATCTGGAAAGAATGTGCGCGTGTGGCTGGATCGGTTTTTGGTTGGAAAGAATGTCCCCTAAGGAGTCGGTCCAGAAAACCACCAAAGCCGACCCAAGGCCAATGTTCTTTTTCAAAAGAGCGATGATTGCCAAGGATGCAAGAGGTATCCAGCCATGGAATGCCTATTTTATTGAGCCCACTCATGGGATGTTAACGAAACCAGCCAGGTTCATGGCGGTTGACCAACCACAACTACCTATCAGTTCAATTTGGTATCACAGAAAGTGGCAACCCAAACCCTATGGGGACGGGGTTTCACGTGCCAGCAACAACGTGGTTGTTCTTTGCAGCCCACCACTAAACATCAACTAGGAAAAAGCAAAACAACAAGCTGTAAAACACGTCAACCAAGAACGTAGGTCTCTTAACTTTGTCCTTTTTTGGGGAGGGGGTCCCTTAAAATCAACCATCCCAAAAAGCGTGCCCCCTGCCAGGGTCCAGGCCAGCCAGCACAAGGAGGAAGATCCACAGAACGGGCCATGGCTTCGGACAGCGAAATGGGCTGGCGGGGTTTGGTTTCCCTTGAAACTTCAAAAAAACGGCTCCCTCGAAAAGAGACACGCCTTTGTTTGATTTTTGGAGGAGTGTTAGATGCTCCCGCAGATTACCCTCACGTTTGCCACACAAAGAAAGGACCAAGTTCCCCTAAAAACACCCGTTATCATTGGCTCTTGCCCCAAAAGCCAAGTCAGAACTCCCTCAAACGGCGCAGGTTTCTTGGAGCCCCGGTGTCAACGCCGAATTTCGTATTGACCGCGTCTCGCGTCGCCTTCGTACCATGCTGCAAGGACTTGGATCGCATTTGATTTCGACTCCGCACCACACCCTCCCTCGGAGGGTCATAGGTCTCCATTTTGGAGGTGGCTCCCTGACCCCTGCCCCACACTCAAGTTTTTACAATGTTTCCAAGGTTCAAAGGGCAGAGATCCTACCCTCAGCGTGTTTCGATGTAGAGGAGGACGCTGTGTATCTTGGCTGCCTTGACCAAAGTGACGCGAGTGCCAGAGTGCAAAAGGCTTGCCGGCCTGGAACAAAAGCCAGGTTCGCCGAGCAAGGTTCCCCTTCAAAGCGGCCCCAAGTTACGTGCAACTTCCCAGCCTCTTCCCATGGCCCAATCTAGTAGCTTTCGGCCTCCCAAAAAGAAGAAGAAGCTTTCCTGCGCCTGCGAAAGCGAACATGGGCTTAAAACATGTGTCTCGCCTGACTGCACGCGCTTCCGTACATATTTTTGCCTTTTTTCTCCATGGACTGATGTCTTGAGGGGACCTACAAGCAACCCTGCAGGAACCTGGCGGCTTGTGGCGGGCAATTGGACCAAGGACCGCTTGCATCGTGTGTTACCCACTGTGCGTGGCGTAAAAGCTGCAGCTGCTAGCCTGCAGTTGCGTGCCAAGCCCACCTGCCTGAGCCCTACTTGCAGTCATATGCATGCATCAACAGAAGGAAGGGTTTTAGCCCTTTCGCGCACCTTTCGCGATGCTTTCGTGGTCTAGGATTCATCAACGTACGTTTGACAACGATATGTCCTCCTGAATACTACTTTCAAACGTGGGGGTTTTAGACCGTCGCTCAATTGCTACTCATTCAACCCATCCTGCCCATCAATGCACCCAAACACCGTGCATACTTCCATCTGTCTAGCTCTCGGTTGGTTGATTCCAGGTTTGGTTCGCAAACCGAACCCCCATCCGTCGCCATCCATCCACCTTACAAAACCCGTAGCCCAAAATGGCGTCCGTCTCCACTTGGGCTGCCCCGTCAACCCAGAGATCCCTGGCAGCTCACGTCTTTTGAAACTCTGCCTGTGTGCTTGGGGGTGGTGGGGGGGGAGGGAAAGTTGCCCTCCCCTCTACCCACCCCCCTCTATAGCTTCCTAGCCTGGTCGCAATCCTCTCCCCATTGCAATCCGCAACGCGCTTAATCCTTGTTTTGTTTGGTAGTCTTCTTGATCCGTAATCCGCTGCAAACTTTGGATCAACACTGTATTTCGGAGCATGGAAGATCCGCAAGCCGCAGTGGGTGTTAGATTCTGAACAAGCTAGGCTTCTATGTACAGTGCGACTCGCAGTCGCTCCAATTCCATCATTCACCATGCGGAAGCAATGCTTCGACCAGTTCACCTGTCAAAACTCCATTGCGAAGTTACATCTGGGAGGGGTCGTTCTTGCTCTTTTCTTGGGAAACACGCATATCCCAGTTGCAAAGTTGGATGGTCAATGGAGCAATCAAGCTGTATGTGTATACATATATATATATGTAATTGCGCAAATTATCTACAACAAGTCGGGGAAGCCGCCAGCTAGCCAGTTTATAGGTGGGGGCATTCGGATTTAACTGTCAGGTATTTTGTGTTTTTTTTTTTTAGGATTTGTTAAAGACGGACTACTGCAAAAGCATTTGCTTTTGGTTGTGCTCCTTGATCAAGAACGAAATCTAAGGGGCAATGTGGGGACTGCGGTTAAAGCTTGAGAAAATGGACATACGGTCGCAAAGTGGGTGTACTTTGTGATGGTTGACCGGGACATGTAGGGGCTCTGGTGAAAAAGCTTGTTGCGTGCTGTTGGCGCATGTTGTTTCTGTTGAGTTCCGCCCTGCGCTGATGCAATTGCCCACACCTATCAACTGCCCAAATAAGCATTGTAGGCTTAGCTGGAATCATGCCCTTTACAACGCCCTTTATAACCTGCAAAGGAGAGCACCAGGCGGCGCCATGGCAGAGTTGCATGCGAATTTAGCGGATGGCGCCCGTGCCACTGCTGGGGGCCCCGCAAGTAATTGCTCGGCCGAAACCCACAGCCCACACATGCGCTGTCACTAGAAGGGTGCGCTCAAGTTGCGCAATCCTCATGGATTCTAGTGGAAATTGCCCAGGAAACCGGAGGCCGCCCTAAAGCTTCGGAAGAAACCTTTGGCTCCAAAACCTGCTGAGAACCTTTCTGGCCGCACATGCCTCTACTTCATCCCGAGTCCAAGTCCCCACTGAGGCACTTTAATCCCTTCTACCCCCAGACTCAATGAGCCTTTGGAACTGAGGTTGGCTTGCAACCCATCAGAAACTCAAATGGGAAGCCGAAAGAAAACTCGAGCGATTCCGAAAGGTGAAAAAAACCTCGAGCGATTCCGACTGGCCTCATCGCCACCGCCAGGCCTAAAGGAACTGGAGCTGAAAGTGACACTCCAAAGCCAGGGCTTAGGGACCGGGCACCTGGAACAGGGAGGAGGGAAAGGATCGCCTTGGATTTTTATCGCCCCCGGCCCATTCATGATTTGCCAAGGCGCCAAGCCCCAGCTTGATGACCTTAAGGCCAAAAATATGGACCCCGGGCTGCCACAAAGGGCCACCAACACCCAAAAGCCCGCAGCTCATGCGCCAAAAAAAAAGAGGTGAGGCGGCCAATCAAACGCGGGGCGACTCCCGCCCATTGTGTTTCCGTGTTTATTTTTGTTTTCCCTTCTTCAAGCGACCTTCGGTGTGCTTACTTCACTTGCGCGTGCTCGCTATTGTCGCCACCACTGAACAATCGATGACATATATATATATATATATGTATATAACATGTATATACAATGGTTGTCCTGGTAAATGACCCCAGATGGGTGGGCTATTTTCCACAAAATGTTGGGACAAAGCCCTAATTGTCCCTTGTCCAAGACCGCTCATATCTCCGTTTGGGTTACCTAGTTGCTAGTTGAAACGGAAACCCTAGGGAATAACAAAAAGGCAAAAGGCTGGCACCTGCAGATTCACGCGGAACGCAAAAGCCGTCATATTAACCGGCTTCTGGGGTTCCATACTAATCAGTCGGGGGGTCAGCAAGCCGAGTCTGCGATGCTCTGAGCTGCCGGGCTCCTCGCTGCCGTCGATAGTTTGCGCCAGCAGCGGCTGCCTGTGCATCCAGGGCTTCAGGACGACAAACTGAATGGAGCTAGAGACGCCTGATTTTAAGGTTTTGGCCACAGACCACAAGCACAACATTGGCGGAGTTTGGCTTTTGTTTTTTTCCAACTCAACCTCTTTGACCAATTCTTGCCATTTGGCTCATGGCTCCCATCAAGCAGGCAAAGGTTGAAGAACCTGATCACGGCCCATTCCAAAAGCTAAACCAAGGTCCGATTTGCCCTTTATTAAAACCAGGAGGGAAAATGAAGACAGAAAGACTTCAGCCTTCACTGGGTGTTTTTTCAAATCTCCTGCTAGATGATGTGAAACCCGAAAAGGGGCAAATAGTGTCCGAGGCAAGGACTCATACGTACTACTCGCTGCGCTACTCCCCCACTACGTCCAGCAACTTCTTCGAGATCGTCATTTGGACTACTTCATAAGGGACTACCTCAACCACTCCACTTCCATCTTGAGCGGCATCAACGACCTCCAGAGCGCTCACTACATCCGGTACAACTTCAGCACTTTCAACGACCACTACACGCTCAACAGCGGTTTCGTCTGGGACCACCTGGATGCCCACCAACTACTCCAATTCCTTCAACTACATTCAGCTGACACAATCAACATACTACTCAAACCTTCTCGCCGCTACACATGGCTCACCGCAACTTCACCAACCCCTCACAACACTGCACCGGCTTCAGTGTGCCCAAATTTGGGACTACAGCCGAATGCTGCCCGTCCTCTGCGGCTGCGGCTCTGGCCTCGCCAATCCAACAATCGAGGGCCCAGACATGACGAAGCCTTCCTTCGTATAAACTGTTCCAGTCTTGATAGCAACCTTGAAATGCCCAAGCAATGTGTTTGGCAAATCCTCGTACTTGACCTTGTGGAAACTGTGCTGGGAAGACTTTCAAAAGCGGATTGGACAAAATAGTCGCAAGCGTTTACAACAGTTGCACAGTACACATGTTTGTTTCACTACAAAATCAGCCGGCATACATTTTCGGGTAGATGCGACGCAACAGCCATGGATCGACCCCTGCTTTCACGTCCTTCTACAACCCCCTTTACATTTGGGACATCCTTTGCATGACAGTTTGTACATGTGTCTGACAATGCTTTGATGCATGCTGCAGCCGTTTGCACATGTTTGGTTTGTACAGTTTGGAATACACTTCCAGACAATGGCTCTTGTCCACATTGGACAATACATGCCTCAGGAGAAGACAAGCATCTGGGACGAGACGGTCTACATGATCTTCAACACAAGCCCACCCACCTTCTTTCAGAAGGGATGACCAGCACAAGCAGACTACAGGAGTGTTACGCGGTCTCGTTCGTGTTCAACGTCAATCGTTTGGTGGAATACAGCCCGATGGGCTACATTACCACTTTCAGCAAGGGCCACGAGATTCTTCAGGTACAGCTGATGCCACACGCGACCTCCAGCGGTGTTCCACATCAGCCACCCAAACAACATTCTGGAGCTTTTGAGAACTTACACATTGCGAACAAGATACATCTGTAGTGGACAGTCAGTGATTCAGGCTTCAAGACTAAATGCACTGCCAGCTACATCTTTGATGCACGCTAGAATTGCGCAGGCTATTGATTACATGCCTGTATCCAGCAGTACCTTAGCACAAAAAATCAACAGGTTGTTCTGCGACATTTGCAGGCTACAGGGAACCACAGTACACGGACCTCAGTCACATGTCCTTTGGACAGCCTGCAAGGACTGTAGGTCACAACACACATGTGGTGACCAAAATCTTGCAGTCTCTCTCAGACTACATTCTGGAGGTCAACAATCGCACCTCATGCATCCTTGAGGCAATGGGAACAGCCCCTTCCGACATGAAGGACACAGGCTGAGTACGTTTGCCACATGGCACACCGCATTTCGCACGCAAGGAGCCGGCAAGGGACATACCTGAGAACATTTGCCTGGAGATCAGTTTGCATGCAGCTTGCCTTACATCATCTCGAACCACAAGGCCGTTTGTACATCCGTCATTCAGCTTGCCCTACATGTAGCACACGCTGTATCAAGGCCTTGAGTCAGCATAGCGCCAGTACAAAAGGAGTGCTACACTGCCGGTTTGATTCAGGTAAACAGGGCAACAGTGGCTCCAAGCTTAACATGAATCATGACATATATATATATATATGTGGGTCTGTCTTCCCCCTGAGCCCCGCACCCGCTCTTCTTGGAGCAGCCTCATGGCTGCCCTGAGCTTCTCTCGCTCCTGCCACAGTCTCTTTGCGCACCACAGCTAAGGGAAGCCGGGGGCACTTACTCTCCGTAAAATTCTGTGGCACCGCCCACAAACTGTTGCTACATGAAGTTAAGGGCGTGTTGCCCCGAAACCATTACCATGTATTGATTTCAACTGTTAAGCTTGTCAACACTTCGAAGAACCATGTAAGAGATCCGCTTCGGAGAAACCATTTACACAACTTTCATCACCGGAACTTGCTCAACAGTTGCAAATGCTGAACTGCTCCTGGACGCCACTCAGCTGGCCAGCCACGGCCTGCGCGTCGACCACAGCGCCAGTCACGGCGTTCACATGGCCGTTCACGGCGTTCTGCACGTCGGCCGCAGCTCTGGCGGCGCTGTCCTGAAATCACAAAAGATGGGTTGAGAGCCTCAACACCTCCAGGCTCCTCCAAAGGCCCCTAGTAATGCCTTGCATCGTTGAAAAAGGGTTGGGCGTACCCCTCTTTTCAGCTGCCAAGCGGGATTGGGCAGGGTAGCTTTTGAAAGCTTCGCGGAAAAGGCTGTTGGGGTCCTTTGCCAGATGAAGTAACTACGCGTTTCTTCACGTGCGGCAATGAGCTGTTTCGCTTTGAGAAAACAACAATCAAGGACACACTGGCGCAAGTGGAGTTTGCATCGCCAGCTGGTGGTGTGAATTTCCCCCTTCGATTATAAAGAAGCTGCTATGGGTTGGCCGCCTTCATGGTCATGCCAAACTTCGGAAACTGGTCCTTGGCCTTAATCAAAAGGGGTGGGAATGCACCCAAAGCTCGCCTTGGACAAAAGAGCATCGTTCCTTGGGTATGCCAAAGTTCATCTGCTTGGAGACGCCTGAAAAATTGTTCCCTCCTCAAGGTGTTGCTTCAGTCGAGGAAACCAACCTAGCTCGGACTTCAGCCGCTGGCCACAAGACCTTCCCGTGCTGCCTCCCAGCTATGAGAGCATTGCCCCTAGCCAATGTTCATTCATCCCCGATTGAATCCAACTTTGGCGCCATCGCGAGCTTGCCTTTAAACAGCCAACAATCCATCAAATACATGGGGCTCATGTTTACAAGATTGTCTTGTAGAAATCAAGCATCCCAATGAAAACCGCGGCAAACACACACACACACACACCGAAACGTAAATAGCATTGCTCCTTTCAACATAGCATTGCCAGCAAAATCAGGGCTGCCTGTGCATTCAGGGCTTCAGGACGACAAATTATACAAATCTCCTGCCAGTTGATGTGAAACCCGAAAAGGGGCAAATAGTGTCCGAGGCAAGGACTCATACGTACTACTCGCTGCGCTACTCCCCCACTACGTCCAGCAACTTCTTCGAGATCGTCATTTGGACTACTTCATAAGGGACTATCTCAACCACTCCACTTCCATCTTGAGCGGCATCAACAACCTCCAGAGCGCTCACTACATCCGGTACAACTTCAGCACTTTCAACGACCACTACACGCTCAACAGCGGTTTCGTCTGGGACCACCTGGATGCACACCAACTACTCCAATTCCTTCAACTACATTCTGCTGACACAATCAACAGAGCCACGACATGCATACTACTCAAACCTTCTCGCTGCTACACATGGCTCACCGCAACTTCACCAACCCCTCACAACACTGCAACGGCTTCAGTGTGCCCAAAGGACTACAGCCGAATGCTGCCCGTCCTCTGCGGCTGCGGCTCTGGCCTCGCCAATCCAACAATCGAGGGCCCAGACATGACGAAGCCTTCCTTCGTATAAACTGTTCCAGTCTTGATAGCAACCTTGAAATGCCCAAGCAATGTATTTGGCAAATTATCGTACTTGACCTTGTGGAAATTGTGCTGGGAAGACTAGCGGATTGGACAAAATAGTCGCAAGCGTTTGCAACAGTTGCGCAGTACACATGTTTGCTTCACTACTAAATCAGCCGGCACACATTTTCGGGTAGATGCGACGCAACAGCCATGGATCGACCCCTGCTTTCACGTCCTTCTACAACCCCCTTTAGATTTGGGACATCCTTTGCATGACAGTTTGTACATGTGTCTGACAATGCTTTGATGCATGCTGCAGCCGTTTGCAGTTTGGAATACACTTCCAGACAATGGCTCTTGTCCACATTGGACAAGACATGCCTTAGGAGAAGACAAGCATCTGGGACGAGACGGTCTACATGATCTTCAACACAAGCCCACCCACCTTCTTTCAGAAGGGATGACCAGCACAAGCAGACTACAGGAGTGTTACGCGGTCTCGTTCGTGTTCAACGTCAATCGTTTGGTGGAATACAGCCCGATGGGCTACATTACCACTTTCAGCAAGGGCCACGAGATTCTTCAGGTACAGCTGATGCCACACGCGACCTCCAGCGGTGTTCCACATCAGCCACCCAAACAATATTCTGGAGCTTTTGAGAACTTACACATTGCGAACAAGATACATCTGTAGTGGACAGTCAGTGATTCAGGCTTCAAGACTAAATGCACTGCCAGCTACATCTTTGATGCACGCTAGAATTGCGCAGGCTATTGATTACATGCCTGTATCCAGCAGTACCTTAGCGCAGAAAATCAACAGATTCTTCTGCGACATTTGCAGGCTACAGGGAACCACAGTACACGGACCTCAGTCACATGTCCTTTGGACAGCCTGCAAGGACTGTAGGTCACAACACACATGTGGTGACCAAAATCTTGCAGTCTCACACAGACTACATTCTGGAGGTCATCAATCGCACCTCATGCAGCCTTGAGGCAATGGGAACAGCCCCTTCCGACATGAAGGACACAGGCCGAGTACGTTTGCCACATGGCACACCGCATTTCGCACGCAAGGAGCCGGCAAGGGACATACCTGAGAACATTTGCCTGGAGATCAGTTTGCATGCAGCTTGCCTTACATCATCTCGAACCACAAGGCCGTTTGTACATCCGTCCTTCAGCTTGCCCTACATGTAGCACACGCTGTATCAAGGCCTTGAGTCAGCATAGCGCCAGTACAAAAGGAGTGCTACACTGCCGGTTTGATTCAGGTAAACAGGGCAACAGTGGCTCCAAGCTTAACATGAATCATGACATATATATATATATATATATATATACATATGTGGGTCTGTCTTCCCCCTGAGCCCCGCACCCGCTCTTCTTGGAGCAGCCTCATGGCTGCCCTGAGCTTCTCTCGCTCCTGCCACAGTCTCTTTGCGAACCACAGTTATGGGAAGCCGGGGGCACTTACTCTCCGTAAAATTCTGTGGCACCGCCCACAAACTGTTGCTACATGAAGTTAAGGGCGTGTTGCCCCGAAACCATTACCATGTATTGATTTCAACTGTTAAGCTTGTCAACACTTCGAAGAACCATGTACACAGAGATCCGCTTCGGAGAAACCATTTACACAACTTTCATCACCGGAACTTGCCCAACACCAGTTGCAAATGCTGAACTGCTCCTGGACGTCACTCAGCTGGCCAGCCAGGCCTGCGCGTCGACCACAGCGCCAGTCACGGCGTTCACATGGCCGTTCACGGCGTTCTGCACGTCGGCCGCAGCTCTGGCGGCGCTGTCCTGAAATCACAAAAGATGGGTTGAGAGCCTCAACACCTCCAGGCTCCTCCAAAGGCCCCTAGTAATGCCTTGCATCGTTGAAAAAGGGTTGGGCGTACCCCTCTTTTCAGCTGCCAAGCGGGATTGGGCAGGGTAGCTTTTGAAAGCTTCACGGAAAAGGCTGTTGGGGTCCTTTGCCAGATGAAGTAACTACGCGTTTCTTCACGTGCGGCAATGAGCTGTTTCGCTTTGAGAAAACAACAATCAAGGACACACTGGCGCAAGTGGAGTTTGCATCGCCAGCTGGTGGTGTGAATTTCCCCCTTCGATTATAAAGAAGCTGCTATGGGTTGGCCGCCTTCATGGTCATGCCAAACGGAAACTGGTCCTTGGCCTTGGAATCAAAAGGGGTGGGAATGCACCCAAAGCTCGCCTTGGACAAAAGAGCATCGTTCCTTGGGTATGCCAAAGTTCATCTGCTTGGAGACGCCTGAACAAGTGTTCCCTCCTCAAGGTGTTGTTTCAGTCGAGAAAACCAACCTACTGGCCACAAGACCTTCCCGCGCCGCCTCCCAGCTATGAGAGCATTGCCCCTAGCCAATGTTCATTCATCCCCGATTGAATCCAACTTTGGTGCCATCGCGAGCTTGCCTTTATACAGCCAACAATCCATCAAATACATGGGGCTCATGTTTAGAAGATCATCTTGTGTAAAACCAATAGAAATCAAGCATCCCAAAATTCCGCTTCTAAAGGGCTCAAAACATATGCCCTGAATAAAGCTAATGGTCTGGGTCCTTCGTGGTAATGACGTCTAATCAGAAAGCAGTTCAAAAGCATTGCGTCTCCTTCCAAAATAGTATTGCCAGAAAATACTGACCCTAAATAAAGCGAATGATCTGGGCCACTTCCGCAATCTGGGCCACTTTCGGAAATAGACCCAAATGCAAAGGCTATTCGATAGGATATTTGTCCTCTTTTGAAGTATCGCTTTCGGACACCTGATCCAAACACACAAACCGAAATGTAAATAGCATTGCTCCTTTCAACATAGCACCGCCAACAAAACCACGGCTGAATCATTGCTTATCCTACTCAAAAGGAACCTGACCGTAGTACAAAAACGATTGGAAGTAGAATTGCACGACTTCCACAACCCCAACTTCACAAAATGTCACTTCCAGCATTACTGGACAAATCAGTCGAACAGGTTGTTTAGGATAACTTCAGGCTTGGCTAATTGACCCTTTCCTCAGCTTGGCTTGAGGTGGAAAAAGCCCTATCCTTGGTGAAAGGAACATGATCCTGGTTCTTGCGAAAGCCTATTAAGTCCCACCATGTCCCTCCCAAAGGATAGACTGTTGATGTAGGTCCTCGCGCCAAGAGAAAGCTGCGACCTCAATGATGCAGGCTCCTTGCCTCTTAAAGAGGGGGGGGGGAAACTGCCAACACGCACGCACCAGTGTTGCGGCAAGACTTGCACGGCCAGCGCTGTGTCAATGAAAAACGGGGGGGGGGGGGGGTCGAGCCAGGTGCTTTTTTGGAATGGTTCTTTCTCAAACCCGTGCGCTTGCAAGCTTTTGAGGGCCAAATCAGCAGAAGTGACCTACAAGTGTTAATTAGAGAGGGGGGTCGGGTTTTCTCAACCTTTGGTGTCCTCAAGCTTTCTGTTGCCAAATAAGCAGAAATGGGATTGCTGACGCCAGTCTTAATGAGCCAGAAACCTGGGGCCGGTAGCCTCACTATTGCCCTGCGGGCTTCCCGGCCGTCTTCGCCCGCCGGAGCCGCTCGAAGCGCTGCTGCAGATCTCGGCAAACGCGGCAAACACATATCTTCGGTGTTTTCATGACGTTTGTGTGATTCTCGGCGTTGCTCATGTGGCAGATCGAGATCTGGACCGACGAAAAGAACAAGTCATTGAACCAATTCCATCACATAGAGCATCGTAAAGAAGACGTCGTGGAGATCCAAAGAGATTTCGTGAACAAAAAACGAAAGCGGAACGCTCCCATTCAGCGCATACACATACCCCGGCATGGCGTACGCCAACCAAGATTGCAGCATAATTTGTAACGCATGAGAAAATCCATGCGCGCAATGCGTTTAGCTACTTGTCAATCCTCACTTAACCCTTTGAACTTCGCGCTGGAAAACAGATAATCGATTGCACCGGAAATCATGAGTTTCAACGTATTCACCTCAAGATGGACGATTTTGCCTCACAGCTACGTTGGCATAACAAAAGTCATGCGGCCCGACCTCATCATGAATCTCCAGAAATAGACAACACACAAACCCCAACCAAATTAGGCTAGCGGGTTGAAATCACGGCAACACAAGCGTTCTTCCACATTGTTTCACCCTCAAAGATGGCTCTGCCCATGCAAAGGAGCCAACGAAACGAGAATCCGAAGCCGAGTTCGGGGCTGGGGCCCTGCTCGCTCTCCAGCTCCAGAAACGTGTTCTTGACGACGAACTGGCTCGAAACGGACATGCAAATGGCTTGTGGGGGATTGGTGCATGTCCTGTTCTTTCAGAACCCGCTTAAGATGCAAATCAGCAAAATTATATTTGCCATGGACTTCGACTTCGTCGGGCAGCATTGCACGACAACCGCATTTCCTCACAACTCATTCGGCAGGCAAGCGAGTACCAACGCCAACATAGTTCAGAGTTCAGAGTTTTATGTGTGCTCCCCCTTTGTTAGATCGCTCTATTTAGTCTGGCAGAAGTACAACACCTAGGATACATGACAACCTCCACTTGGAGTGGTCCATGCCTTCCGTTTATCACACCTTGCGGAATAAAAGTTTGTACAAGCGTGACCATGAAAAAATGTAAGCAGCACCGGTCTTTGACCTACATCATTGCATCTTGGCAGCCCTCCAAAGATGGCAGACTCTTGTCACAAACGACTTTAGCGCATACACAGCACTCCGGGCTCTCTTGTTTCCTTTTAAGACTCAGCTTGGGGCAAAAAATACGACCGACATGGTCTCCGCCTGGTGGAACCTGCCTTGTCTCACTTGGCCCGCCGGAGGGCTTCAAGCAAACGCATGAGTCTGCCCATGCAAACGAGCAAGGACTTTCTTGTCAACGACAGGCATTGTGAAACACTGGTGTTTCACTAGACTGGCAATGGCAACAAGCAAGCGTGGAATAGCAACATTCCTTCAATGCCAAGCATCGTGCACACGAATTTCACTGAAAGTCCGTCTGATGGGACGTACATTCACTGGGACCTAAGTTTTGATAGGCGAGGACTTCAAATCATACTTAGAGGGGGAGGCTTTGCTTTAGAGTTAGTCCTGTTTGTGCTAGACTGGCACGGGTTGAGCTTCCCTAGTTGATGCCTGCTGCAGCCCATGAACAACAAAGAGCTGACTGACCTTTTCTTGAAAGCGAACCTCTTCTAGCCAAGAAACAAGCCACAGTTCGGATAGCAAACAAGAAACAAATATTTGACTCACCCTGCGTGGGAAAAGCCAACTCCAATTCTCAACCTAGTTCCTTGCAAACAAACATCTGACGAACACCCAGAAACCCCACCGCTTAATCGGCGATCTTGCTCTCCCGCCCCTTCCCCAATCCCGGCTTCTTCGCGGAGGTGAAAAATCCACCCCTACAATAATGTGGAGGACCCCTCACAACAACATACATGTAAAATATACATATATATATATATGTTTATGCATGTGTATATATATATATATGTATATATATATATATGTGTGTGTTAGGGGCGGCAGGATTCTATGGGGTCAAACAAGGGTCCACGTGGCTTTACAATAACAAATAAATTCAAATGGATCAAATGGTTTCAAGGAGAACCAAAAAGGAAACCCACAAAATTGGTAAATTGTATGTATATGTTCCTACATACTTGGACCCTCTGGTGGACATCTTTTATGCCACCAACCATTTGGAAGGTGCATTCCCAATTTTCAAGAAAACAACGGCTGTGTGTGTGTGTACGTGACAATCCGACACACGCACACAAATATGTCTCCTTCAAAACAATCAGGATTCAGCAAGGGCGTCGGACAAGACAAGCTCTGGATCTGGTGTTTAGAACTACGAGCCTAGATTATTTACTGTGTTACGTCAACCTTAACAAAACCCATGTGAGGCAGTCATGTGGAAGGAAAGCTCTGCGAAAGAAGCAAAGAAGCAATAGGTTCAGCAACGGCCTGTCTGTGAGATCACAACAAACCCCCAGCCAGCCCAACCAATGCTTCCAAGGACCACCTGCACACCACACAACCGATCAACTTCCATCGCCTTCTCCTCTGCTCTCTTGGCTGGACAGTCCTGGAACCAAATATTGAAGCAACCAACCAACAAACCGGCCAACAAAGCAACAAAGTAAACAACCAGCAGCGTAGCAACAAAACAACGATCCAGTCGGAAAAAAGTGGAGCCCCATTGTCCCAGTGTGACGCATTCTTTTGTTGCGTAAAACGCGTGTTCGAGCCTGTCCTTGAATAACAGGGTGTTTTGTTGTTCAATATGTTCAGAGGGGCGAGCGATCGATACGTTCTTGATTTCGCGCTCGTGCGCAGTTACGTGCGCTTGTTTTGGCGATAAGAATTTGCGCTCGTTGTGCACTTCGATTTCTGCGCGCTCTTTTCAGGACCAATCATCTTGGAGTCTTGGAGGACAAATCCAAGAATATACAAAAACTGCTCGAGACGTATATGTCTTGCCGTTTTCTTTGAAAAAATAAGGCACGACCACAATGAACATTACACGACGAATACGAAAAATACAAACATGTGTGTTACGAAGGGAGCTTCGGGAACAAACAATCGAACGAGCGACCAAACACACAAAGAAACAAACAAACAGACAAACAAACAGACAGACAGGCAGACAGACAGACAGACAGGCAGACAGACAGGCAGACAGACAGGCATACAAACAAACGAACAAATAAACAAACAAGCCAACAAAAGAAAAGGCAATGAAACACAAGAAACGAAACAATAGCAGCATAATTATCACCGAAGAAACGGGTAAGCACTTAAGGAAGCAGGCAAGGCAAGGCAAGCAGGCAAGCAACCAAACCCAAGAAACAAACAATCAGTTTAACAACACACTTTGCTCCCTGCCTCCAGCGCTCGTTGTGTGCGCTCTGCCTCAAGATCCGCTTCCGTCTCCTTCTCCTGGCCTCAAGCCCACAAATAAGCACGCTCTGTGGTATGTTACATCATGCACATCAACAGCACAAGTTATCCCTGCCCAACTTGCCGAGCCACGGCTTTCGAGGTCCTCGGCCAATTGCTGGGCGGCCTCCGTCGGCTGATCCTCCGCCTCTTTCTGCTCCAAAGCGGCCTGAAGCAAATCATCCAAAGAGGATACGGTCAAGCATACTTGTTGCGATTGTTGGACTCTGCAAAGCCGTTCATGCCTCTCACGTCAGGGATGTGTTTTGTGTTTGAAAAGTTTCGAAGGCTGGTACCCACTACCATGCAGTACAAGTGTTAACCACATGCCAGCTCTTCTCAAATCAATGCATCCTTGCAAAAATGTCGTAGCAAGCCTCGATCTTCAACACAACTCAGGGATCCTTCAGCAATTGTCGTAATGTAAATGCACTTACGGCCTTTCCAGAGGATCACATAGGGACCGAACCGCTTCAATGCGCTCGTGCAAGCTGGCTCGTGCAACCTGTCTCGTGCAAATCTGCCTGTTGAGTTCGCTAGCAATTTTTCGGCTTCGCAATGCCTTCGGGAACAAAAACACGCAACCACCCGACGGCCCGAGTATGCCTTTGACTGCAGAAAAAAGGCACGGTGGGTCGTTCATACACAGGCGCCTGAAGGCTCGATGAGAAATGTTGACGACTTGATGGCTTTTAGAGGTCCTTATTGCATGAGTCACTAGATTTCCCTAAGGTTGCAATTAACTGGCTTCCATTGAAACTGCCACTGTTGGAACCCTCCAAAAAAATGATATCCTGGCTTACAGAAAGTGGGCTTCCCTAAAACTCGAACCACCTCTTTCCACAGCCACGGGCACGACGAAACCCCCGCATGGCCCGAACTGGCCTGAGCTGCGCTCTCCGCTGCTTCCTCCTGCCAATTGTAGGAACCCACAGGTTCTCAGAACCTGTTGAAAAGGGCATCTTCGCCCGAGAACCATTCCATTCCGGCCAAGGCGCATAGAAAACATCAAAAGGCCATGAACACTTCTTTAACAACCGGTTAGCACGAGGAACCCCCGGCTGCGTCCCACTGACTTCCTGGCTGAAATATCCAAATGTAAGAGGCCCAAAACGACATCTCCTGGCAGTTGGTTAGGGCGGAGGTAAACTGGGGGGGATACCTTTGTGGGAAATAACCCGTTCAATGGTGATTGCCAAACGTGGGATTCCCATCCCCATGAGTTCTGTATCACCGTGCAGGGATTCCTTCGCAGCAGAACCCCACAAACGGATGTCTTGGGCAAAATATGCACGCGCAAACCCAGTCCATCTGCGTCTGCTGGCAGGTCTGTGTCTCCTGAGAGGTCTGCGCCCGGCCGAGGCACATAGAGAACATCAAAAGGCCATGAACACTTCTTTAACAACCCAAATGCGTCCCACTGATTTCCTGGCTGAAATATAAGAGGCCCAAAACGACATCTCCTGGCAGTTGAGCAATGGTGATTGCCAAACGTGTCCCCATGACTGCTTTATCACCGTGAAGGCATTCCTTCGCAGCAGAACCCCACAAACGGATGTCTTGGGCAAAATATGCGCGCGCAAACCCAGTCCGTCTGCGTCTGCTGGCAGGTCTGTGTCTCCTGAGAGGTCTGCGCCCGGCCGAGGCACATAGAGAACATCAAAAGGCCATGAACACTTCTTTAACAACCGGTTAGCACGCAACCGGTTAGCACGAGGAACCCAAATGCGTCCCACTGATTTCCTGGCTGAAATATAAGAGGCCCAAAACGACATCTCCTGGCAGTTGGGCAATGGTGATTGCCAAACGTGTCCCCATGACTGCTTTATCACCGTGAAGGCACTCCTTCGCAGCAGAACCCCACAAACGGATGTCTTGGGCAAAATATGCGCGCGCAAACCCAGTCTGCGTCTGCTGGCAGGTCTGTGTCTCCTGAGAGGTCTGCGCCCGGCCGAGGCACATAGAGAACATCAAAAGGCCATGAACACTTCTTTAACAACCGGTTAGCACGAGGAACCCAAATGCGTCCCACTGATTTCCTGGCTGAAATATAAGAGGCCCAAAACGACATCTCCTGGCAGTTGAGCAATGGTGATTGCCAAACGTGTCCCCATGACTGCTTTATCACCGTGAAGGCATTCCTTCGCAGCAGAACCCCACAAACGGATGTCTTGGGCAAAATATGCGCGCGCAAACCCAGTCCGTCTGCGTCTGCTGGCAGGTCTGTGTCTCCTGAGAGGTCTGCGCCCGGCCGAGGCACATAGAGAACATCAAAAGGCCATGAACACTTCTTTAACAACCGGTTAGCACGAGGAACCCAAATGCGTCCCACTGATTTCCTGGCTGAAATATAAGAGGCCCAAATCTTCTGGCAGGTTTGGGCAATGGTGATTGCCAAACGTGTCCCCATGACTGCTTTATCACCGTGAAGGCATTCCTTCGCAGCAGAACCCCACAAACGGATGTCTTGGGCAAAATATGCGCGCGCAAACCCAGTCCGTCTGCGTCTGCTGGCAGGTCTGTGTCTCCCGAGAGGTCTGCGCCCGGCCGAGGCACATAGAGAACATCAAAAGGCCATGAACACTTCTTTTTAACAACCCAAATGCGTCCCACTGATTTCCTGGCTGAAATATAAGAGGCCCAAAACGACATCTCCTGGCAGTTGAGCAATGGTGATTGCCAAACGTGTCCCCATGACTGCTTTATCACCGTGAAGGCATTCCTTCGCAGCAGAACCCCACAAACGGATGTCTTGGGCAAAATATGCGCGCGCAAACCCAGTCCGTCTGCGTCTGCTGGCAGGTCTGTGTCTCCTGAGAGGTCTGCGCCCGGCCGAGGCACATAGAGAACATCAAAAGGCCATGAACACTTCTTTAACAACCGGTTAGCACGAGGAACCCAAATGCGTCCCACTGATTCCTGGCTGAAATATAAGAGGCCCAAAACGACATCTCCTGGCAGTTGGGCAATGGTGATTGCCAAACGTGTCCCCATGACTGCTTTATCACCGTGAAGGGATTCCTTGTCTTGGGCAAAATATGCGCGCGCAAACCCAGTCCGTCTGCGTCTGCTGGCAGGTCTGTGTCTCCTGAGAGGTCTGCGCCCGGCCGAGGCACATAGAGAACATCAAAAGGCCATGAACACTTCTTTAACAACCGGTTAGCACGAGGAACCCAAATGCGTCCCACTGATTTCCTGGCTGAAATATAAGAGGCCCAAATCTTCTGGCAGGTTTGGGCAATGGTGATTGCCAAACGTGTCCCCATGACTGCTTTATCACCGTGAAGGCATTCCTTCGCAGCAGAACCCCACAAACGGATGTCTTGGGCAAAATATGCGCGCGCAAACCCAGTCCGTCTGCGTCTGCTGGCAGGTCTGTGTCTCCCGAGAGGTCTGCGCCCGGCCGAGGCACATAGAGAACATCAAAAGGCCATGAACACTTCTTTAACAACCCAAATGCGTCCCTCTGATTTCCTGGCTGAAATATAAGAGGCCCAAAACGACATCTCCTGGCAGTTGAGCAATGGTGATTGCCAAACGTGTCCCCATGACTGCTTTATCACCGTGAAGGCATTCCTTCGCAGCAGAACCCCACAAACGGATGGCACGCAAACCCAGTCCGTCTGGTTCTCCTGGCAGGTCTGTGTCTCCTGAGAGGTCTGCGCCCGGCCGAGGCACATAGAGAACATCAAAAGGCCATGAACACTTCTTTAACAACCAATTAGCACGAGGAACCCAAATGCGTCCCACTGATTCCTGGCTGAAATATCCAAATGTGTGGTTACTGTACCGTGTACTGGAAATAAACCTTCAGCCATAGTCAAACCTGGTAAACAAGAGAGGCCCAACACCAAAAGCGCCGCAGCTACAAACCTGGGGCAATCCGTCCGGGTTTTTCGCCGTCCGGGTTTTGGCCGTTCTCAAAAGCTAAGGGCCACAGCTTGTTCTGCTTTCAAAGGAACATGTTCAGGGGGTGGCTTCAGGAAAACCAAAGGGCGAGCCAAATTTGTTGACATATGTTGAGGCACGCCAAAATGCAATGAGTGCGATCTGTATTGCCCCGTTCGGTGGCTTGCTGTCGGCTAACATGGCTGTCTTAATCAAACGGAATGTATGTCACGGGCTCAAGGGGCCAAATGACAATAAAGGGATCAAGGACATCCCTTTCAGGCCTCATGAGCAGCTTTGGGAAAGCCTGTGGTATGGAAACTCTTTTGAGAACTGACCGGGCAGCCACAAACAAACAATATCTTTGGAAAATATCAGTTTGCTGGAGCCCAACTGACAGAAGCGAATTCATCCGACCCCCTCAGCGGCGTCAAATCCCCTCTCCTTGAAGTTCTTCGCCTTGCAAAGGCCGCTACACTCGTTGAACAGGGCCCACATGACCGCAACAAACGGCTGTGAAAAAAATCGGTGTCTGGTCTTACATGATCGACGCGTTTCCCAAGGCTGCTCAACTTCCTTAGCATATGTCATGCGCATTTGTTTGTCAGTTCAAGCAACATTTCGACTTATGTTTGATATTAGTCCAGTATATTCTATATAGTTCTTCTTTATGCCAACATGCTTATGAAGAAATTGAAATGTGGCTCTCGCCTCCTCAACAAGTTGGCGCCAGTATTCCACAGCAGCTCGGCCGCACATCGCCTGGCTGGCTGGCTGGCTGGCTGGCTGGCTGGCTGGCTGGCCGGCTGTCTGGCTGGCTGGCTGGTTAATTGGTGTTTTGGTTGGTCCGCGTTGGTTTGTTTGTTGGCTGGCTGGCTGGCTGGCTGCGGCGTGTTGTGTGTGTGTGTGATTTGCTGTCGGTCCAACAACCCAACTCTCCAACTCTCACTCCACTCTCACTCCACTCTCACTCCACTCTCACTCCACTCTCACTCCACTCCATGTCCGAACATGTATATTTTTATACACATGTACAAATACACATGTAGACATTGTATACATTGCATGCTTACACACACACACACCACCACACATTCACAAATGGCCACGGGCAAGCAGGCCTCCAAGTACACGAAGTCAAACTCCTGCCCACGCGCTCAGAGCTTTGTTTCCCTAACAGCTGAAACATCTGGGCAGTTAGGTATCGAATGAGTATCGGCTTGACTTGGTTGGCAATCCCACTCCAGGACCTCAATTAGCAACACTGGTGGCTTTATCCATGACTCGTATAGCTTCTCAATCACACAGTGTGGTGCGACTCACAAGAACCCAGGAATCTCGAACCAATTGTGTCGAAGACAAACGTTTTTGCTCATCGCTTTGCAATGGCGGCCTGCAAAAAAAAGTTAAGGGGCGTCCCTTTCGATTGACGCCCTATCTTTGGTTTCCCAGCTGCTGCCAAGCCGCCCTTCGCCCCATAGCAAGGTGATGCGATTCGGCGGGCGCGGATTTGAAATTGAGCCAAATCTGGAGTGCAGAAAAGACTCGTGTCGTTTCCCCTCAAAACGGATTATTTTCGTTTGGAAATGGATGGGCTGCATTTCTAAATAGGCAGGGTTCCTGTCAAACTGGATTGGTTTCCACTCATGGACAAGGCCCCTCTAAAAATGTATGTGTTTTCTCTAAACATGGTACGTTCCCTCTAGACAAATGGGTTGCGTCTCAAAATCGATGGGTTTAGGGCAAGCAAGGTTCTCAAATCCAATTGGCTTTACCACAAGTCATCGTAGTGATGATGATGATGATGATGATGATGATGATCATGATGATGATGATGATCATGATGATGATGATGATGATGATGATGATGATGATGATGATGATGATGATGATGATGATGATGATGATGATGATGATGATGATGATGGACATGTCCAAAGTCTTTTTGCTTGGTTTTTGACTTCCTTTGGAAACCACCAACAACAAACAGGGAGTCGACGAGGGGCCTTTTTGCTCCCCTTGCCGCCTACTGAAACTCGCGGGCGACCATGCGTTCCAGCCATGTCACTCTGACCTGGCAAGGCAGGCTCCGGTGAAGAAAGAAACAACGATTGCACACCAGCACCTCGAACAGCACCCCAAACAGCATCCCAAAACAGCAGCTGCACCGGGGTGGATGTCCAAAAAGAAAGAAAGAACATAATGGGTGTTCTAACACCAATAACGTCACTTGATATTGGTGTTAAATCAGGTGTGTCAGGAAAAGAACCATTGACTAAACTCTCCGCCCCGACTCCCGCAGCTGCACCTGAAGGTCCGCCACCTGGTGAAAGTAGATGACAGAAATCCCGGTAGACGTTGTACAGGGGGGTTAAACCAAAAGGGGGGGGACTGCGGTATCTACTTTCAACCAAATGCCATCTTGACCAATGGTCACAAGTCCTGTGAGTCATGGTTGCAATAGGATTGCTGATTACCAGCTTGAAAATCCTTCAGGAATTCAATGACCACCGGCCTCAAGTTCAAGCAATGTTGACCATCGAAGAATGAACTCTTGGTTGATTAGGGGGTGTCCCAGTTGCGGGGAAATCCTTCATGTTGGGCGGGACTGGAACCTCCTTGCTGAATTGACATCAGGGGGTCCTATACGATTCCCATAGCTTATAAAGGAAAAGGTACACATATGAGCCCGTGTTCTCTTCATATTTATCGACACTTCTCAGTGTAAGGGGTGCTTGACTTGCCTTCCCAACTCAAAGGCTTGCAAGCTCACCGCCTCCGCCTGGCAGGATCGTATTGGGGTCAAACAAGGGTCCACCTGGCTTTACAATACCAAATAAATTCAAATGGATCAATTGGTTCAACGGAGAAGCAAAAAAGGAAACCCACAAAATTGTTACGATTGGGGGTGAGTTATATGCGTTTATTTCTACATGCTTGGACCCTCTGGTGGAAATCTTCTATGCCCACCAACCATTTGGAAGCAGCATTCCCCATGTTCAAGAAAACGTGTGTGTGTGTGACAATCCGACACACACACAAATATGTGTCCTTCAAAACAATCTGGATTCAGCAAGGGCATCGGACAAGGATCACATGAGGAAGTGTCTCCACACCCGCCTTGTCTGCTTGGAGTTGCGCGTCGCTGCTGGAGCTTTTCAGCGCTTCCAGCTCCGCCTGCAACTGCTGGGTCTGCTCGAGAATAATCTTGACCTGGCCTCAGGACCCACAGATTCCACCGTACCGCACAATGATTTGCAATGGTTTGCTTGCGTGCTTGAAGGAACCAACTGCAAATTGCGCAGATGACATTTTTGCAATGTCACTGTCACTGCAGAAATACACTCTTTATCGCGGCACGCACGCTACGACAAAAACATCCTCCTATATCAAGAGTCGGGGGCCCTTGTTCAAAGTTGCATTTTTCCTTCCAGCGCTTTTTTCCCCAAGTGTGGCTCTGCAACTTTGTTTCATTCATGTGGCCTGCTTCCAACCATCTCATACAGCTCAAGCCATAGCTTGCAGGCACAAGGTGCAAAGAACAGATCGCCAAACAAGAAGCATCATGCAGAATTGGACCACAGCAAATCTAGCGCATGAACGTGCTGACGAAACACGACGCAAACTCAATAGATCTTAGACACTCACACAGTCTTGTATACCTAGTGAGCGCGTTCCCGTGCGCATCAAACAAGGGCTCAAACACATTGACGGATGTTGCTAAAGTTATGAATCGCAGCTATGGGTGGTGTGCCGAACCGGCCCCTTGAGAATAATACATACATATATGTATATACACTTATGCATCTTTACACGACATTGTATACATAGCCATAGCATATTCACGAAAACAAGAGCTATCCCCACCCAACTTGCCGAGCTACATTCCAGGTTCTGCAAAGCCGCGGCCTGAAGCGAAGCATCCAAACATATTTTGTTGAAAAAAGCATGTTGCCATGTCTAGATAAATGTGTGTGTGTGTCTCCATTGCTCGATTTCGGGGGATGATAAAACACCCATATTCATGCTGCAGAACTTATCCTACTGTGCACGAACATGGAACCTCGCAGGGCGTGCTGGAAAACAATGTTCCTTTAAAAGGGAACCCCTGGTGGGTTCCATGTTAGTGGAAGGAGGGTATCCAAATTTCCGCGCTTTGAAAGTTGAAGGCATCTGGCAATGCCGTGGGAACGCTCAGACTCCACTTTTCCTCAAGGGCCCTTCAGTCAATATTCCAGAAACATCGTTCAGTTTCAATAATACGGCATAGACATGTGTTAACTTCAAACATCATGGGATTGTCCTCACAGTGTTCGGAACTTGCTCCTCGTCTCAGGCATGTCCATGGAATAGCCCCCCCTTGTCCCCGGAATCTCGCTTGCATCAAAACGAATCCAGAGGCAATGTCTGCAGAACCTTCTTGAATACGCCACAGTTCCCTTCAAAAGTTGCTTGCCAGCAAGCGGTGTCTGCACATACCTTCTGAAGACTCCTCCGCGAGCACAGAAAGGTAGCAACGTCCACAATTCTTTGCACGCCAGAGCTGTGTCTGGCAGAAGCCACAATACCGCATTTTGTCCTGTGCTTGAAACCCGAAATGCGTAGAAACCTGTGCCTCAGCTGTTGCCCAACCAACACACAGCGTATGTCTGAGTCTTATTGTGTGCATCTTCAAATCTATTATGGTTGCAATAGCGATCCCGGAAATCTCTCTATATTGGGATGGTCCCTTTAATTCCCCAGTCGTTTGGGGGGGCATTCAATCCCAGCGAAGCAGCGGCCCGGTCTTTGCCTCTCTGGCTGTGCAAAAAGTTCCGCAAGACCCTGGCTCGAGCGCCAAAAGAGTTCGCGACGGGCGAATTCGCGGACTTCCGCCTTGGACAACCCAATCGATCAGAGCGACCCTGGAAAAACAGCCGAAGAAGCCGATCGCCCAGTAAAACCTGACATCCTTTTCGATTCAGAACAGTAGGGATGGACCATTGCTTTAAGGGAGAACCCTCAAAACCAAAATCGGTTAAACAAGGTGGAATCTACTGAACAACTGGGATAAAGTCTGGCAATGTTTGGCATTGTCCCCCCACACAAAAGTCCAATGCCGTTTTCCGCTGGTCGCCTTGGTTCAGCGATTCATCGCCGAGAACCGGGCCGCAAATCCAACAACCTCCTCTGTGCTCTACGGTTGTGGGATTTCGTGTTTTAATCCCCGTTTCTCCGGGTGGCCAAGGGGGCAAACGTAGGGCTGTGGGAAAGGAGGTTTTGGCAGATTTTGGGTGGCCAAGGGTCCTTCAAGTTGCTTCGGGAACAACCAATCTACGTTTTTGTTTTAATGTGTGTGTGTGTGTGTGTGTTTTGTTCTGATACAAACTTGTTGTCGAGGCGATGTTCGTCCTGTACGCCTGTCAACCGTAGGAAACACGTCACGTTGACACAAAGGTTGAAGATCTGATCTGGGCATGTCCCAAAAAAGTACGAATACCTGCAGCGGTCCCCCCCTGTCACTCATCCAGAATCTCTCGCGTCTTCTGCCAAGTAATTGCCTGTTCCAGAACCCAAGACACGACTCAGCAACGAACCCACACACACACGTACACCAGCAAAATTATCTTTGTGCCTTCTGGTCCAAGATGTTGTCCACAACCGCTACTCCCGTACCACTGTCAATAGGGTCTATGACATGTGTACGTATATATACACATCTTATACGCACCAGTTATACAGTGTTTGATGGTGTGGTTGTACACCCCGTTCCTTGGCGTGGAGACATTTCTCATGAAACAGACTGGGGATCGCACCGGCGTCAGCGGCAGGTGGCCACGCACAGCTCGTTACTGGTGAGCCTTCCGGCCTGAGCGACGATTCGACGAGGGTGGGACGGCCGAAAGGGCGGTGAACATGTGTTGCTTGGAAGATGCCCACCGAAAGGTTGCGGTGCGCCACAAGGGGCAAGGGCTACTTTTGGGGCTTCCACAAAGCCAGGCCAACCTTCACAGGGAAGTGAACATGAACAACTACTCCGTGTCTTAAAATCGAGGCCACCGGTGCTCGATTTTGCGTCAAAACTTTCAGCTAGCAGTCAACAGCCATGTCCATCGCGTGAGCCTAGGTGGCGGGAAGTGACTAGGACGAACCTTGAGATCCCATCAATTTATGTGTAAAGCCTGGATTCTTTGTGTAAACAATATAATTGTTAACAATACGAGTACTATCCTCCACACCATGGGCAGAACGCCAGGCGGCCGCAGCATCTGTTTCTACCGTAGCACAGTCTTCGCAATGCTCCACAGAATTCAAAAAATCAGCTTGCCGCAGGACACTGGATCCCTGCTGGGTTTGAGACTCGCAGAGCTCAACTCCTTAGTGTAGGCCGACATCCAGCAGCCACCAGCTAGGGCGTGGGGAAAGGGCCTGATTTCGACTGAAGCTTCAGCATCAACTTTTGACACTTGAGCGGTGAGCGAACAACAATCCCTCCCCAACACCCTCCAAGCTCGGAGCTACAACGTCCACGCGCTGGCAGCGCTCTCGGCTGCGACAGCTGAACCGAAGGTTACCAAGCCATAGCTCTCAATGTGAAACATCTGCACAGATTGATCCTCCTCGAATACCACCTCGTATAAGACTGTGCACTCCTGGCACTCTGCTCCCTCGAAATTCACTCGAACCGTCCTATGTCCAAACTCTGTTTGCGCAGGGTGGCAAGATAAGGGGCGTCGCAACTAGCATGGAGCCCATGAAAAAGGGGACCGCCAGTGTACAAAGACTTTCCCAGAGGGAAATGTTATATTTGTGTAGGAGGCTGAAAGCAGGGGCTATCAAGAGCTCAAGCGCAAGCTCCTGCAGGTGGGAGACCTTGGTGAGCTTCTGGTTTTTCCCACCCACAATGACCAGGTCACCCTCACTCAGCTGATCTGCACGTTGGGCTCCCTGGCAGCCTGCAATGCGCTCGAAACAAGCTGCACTGACCCACCGGATATGTTCTTTCATGTCAGAATAGTAACAGAAAGTTGGACGAACAACCCAACGCCCAAAGCACCTCCCAGAGACTCAAAACCACACAACGACAGAGGAAACCCCGAAGAACCCTCGCAAACTTCATGCGGCAATCAATCAATGGAGGCAAATGTGGCAGGCGGTGAAGAGGCGTGTCCCGGCAGCAATTTGCCCTTACGCGTGCCCCACCTGGCCCAGGCACTGCCACGCGATGATCCTTGGACACTGTGAAGCGCCCCTCGCTCGTGGTGAGCTGCACCAAGTCGTAGGGCCTCTTGCGGTGCGCCTCGATGCGAACCACCTTGGCGTCAGTCAGGTCGCGCAGGCGCACGCGGTCGCCGATCCTCAGCTTCTCCACGCGCAGCAAGTGGCCGTCCGCTCCCGGCAGGACCGTGTTGGGTGGGAAGCACTTTGCCGATCGGCTGCTCACATCGCTGATGGACTGTGCATCTGACTGGTCTCCAGTGTTAACAAGAATAAAGGAGTTGGCGGACTGAACATCTGATTGATCTCCAACAAGAGAGAAGGAGTCCGTGATATTGTTGAGGACCGGGGTTGCGCCTGAGGCCAGGTACCCCACATGCTTCAACTATTGCTGGTAAGCCGGACTCTGAACAGTTGCAACCAGCGGGCAACCAGCGGGCCTGGAGCTTCATCTCGAGAATCGCTCGTGTCAGGGTGGATGAAGGCCTCGTCCAACAGAAGTGGCACATCGTGTTTCCACAGCTGACTCTCACATGTTGGGATACAACTACATGCCCTTGGAGTAGCTGGCCGGGAATGGCGTCTCTATATTCTGCAACCACCAGTATGTCATTCATAACATGATATGTCCGGTTGGTTAGTATCCAAGGTGTGGCATTTTTCTCTTCAGCGGATTGCGTTGACTCCGGAGGTGCAGAAGTCAGGGCAACTGGCACGGCGCATCTTGCAGCTCAAGGAGGATTGCGACGATGTTTTGGCGCCCCAGCGCAACTAAATCGCCGTATGTGGTCCATGTTGCGGTGATGAACGAGAGGCTTTTCGCGACTCAAATGAGGCTTTTCGTGGCTCAAACGGAATGACAGTCCAAGGGGGCCTCGCGGCAACACAATACATTTCTTTATGCGCCGCTAAGTTCCATTGCTAGCTCGTTTCAACAAATGCTCGAGGCCCATCCGGTGGTTCTCACGCTGCACAGCCTCGACTTTCTTCATCTCCTCTGCCTTCTGCCGCGCCAACTCGTCCAGCTGCTTCTGCAAGCTTTGCGCGATCTCCGCCTTCTGCTGCTTCTCCGTCTCAAGCTCTTCCATCAGCAATTCAATCTTCTGCTGCAAAGCCTTGATCTCATGCTGCGCGGACTCGACTTTCTGTGTTTCCTCTTCCTTCTCCTGCGTCAGCAGCTCATGGCGGCGCTTGGACTCGTCCAGCTGCTTCCGCAAGTGCTCCTTCTCCTGCTGGATCTCCGCCTTCTGCAGCTTCTCCGTCTCAAGCTGCTCCATCAGCGAATCAATCCTCTGGTGCAATGCCTTGTTCTCATGCTGCGTGGACTCGAATTTATGTGTTTCCTCTTCTTTCTTCTGCGTCAGCAGCTCATAGCGGCGCTTGGATTCGTCCAGCTGCTGCTGCAATTTCTGCTTCTTGTGCTGGATCTCAGCCTTCTGCAGCTTCTCCGTCTCAAGCTGCTCCATCAGCGAATCAATCCTCTGGTGCAATGCCTTGTTCTCATGCTGCGTGGACTCGAATTTATGTGTTTCCTCTTCTTTCTTCTGCGTCAGCAGCTCATAGCGGCGCTTGGATTCGTCCAGCTGCTGCTGCAATTTCTGCTTCTTGTGCTGGATCTCAGCCTTCTGCAGCTTCTCCGTCTCAAGCTCCGCCGTGAGCTGGTCGATGCGGGCTTGGAGTTGCGCACAGGCAGGCGGCGGGCTCTGCAGGGTTCCAACAGGCCCGGGCAGGGGAAGCAAGGAGAAATCGAAGCAGCCCACCCACATCAAATACGTGTACAACTCCAACTGCGGCTCGGGGCTTTCGAAGGTCGCCTCCAGCACCCGCCTCTCCCCGCCCGCCTCCGCCCACAGCTTCCACCGCCCCGCGGCCTTCTCCCAGCGCAGCCGCACCGAACCGCGGCCGGGGAGGTCGTGGCGCTGCTGCACTCGGCCGCACGGAAGCTGCTCGTTGACAAAGCTGCTCTTCGACCAGGCGGCCGCCGTCCGGGGCGAAGCCGACCTCCGCCACCCACCTCGGCGCCGCCCCAGGCCGCAGCTCGCGGAGGGAAGCCACGGAGTAGCCGCGCGCCTGAGGCCGGGGGCGCAGCTCCAGGCCGCCGGCGCCGCTCGCGGGTCCACGGCGGCCGTTCGCGTCCTCCGCCTGCCACACGAGCTCCGAGGCGAAGGCCATGGCGTGGGACGTGAGAGGCGAAAGGCGTGAGACTTTTGAGACTTTTGAAGCCGAAATCTGCTCAAAACGCACTCCGAGTCCAATCAAAACATCTTCCGAGTGCCAAGATCAACACTGTGCCAACTTGCACTTGAAATCATCTACGTCAAGGCCCCCGGCCCAAACTGCGTGCCCTGTTTGTTGCAGCTGGAAGCCTTGAGGCCGGGCAGCTGGGCAGTCCAAAGCTGACCAGGTGCTTCTGGCTCATGAAGAACTTGTGTTTGCTTCGTTTGACATGACTATAGCTCTGACCTTCTCACGATACGCTTCCATCCCGAACCCGAAAGAAAGTCTGATACACACAACATGGCCTTCAAACCAGTTGCTCCTTGGAGTTCCTTTCTTTCTCCTTCCTTGGAGAAGCTGTACGGAAAATAGTTGCCTGGAGTCTCCATGACCCCTCAAAAATGGGTCCATGACCCCTTTATTTGGGTAATGACCGACCATTTTTTCTGCGGTCAGAAGGAGACTCTAGGTGGTTATCTATAAGGGTTAAGGGGGTTAATGTTAACCCCGGATTCATAAACCCCTGGTTGATTTTGATTGGGGGTGTCCCCTTTTAGTGGGGATTCATCACTTTTGGAGGGAACACCCCCCAAATAATGGGACGGGTAAATTAATCCTGGGTCAACATTAATGGGTTTGGCCGGGATCGTTTTGTTAATGTGAAACTGAGGCACACATATCTTGAGAAACGCGAATCGTCTCAACGGCTAGGATCCGATAACTATTTTGAAACAACACCAAACAATCCGGTCACCAATAAACAACTAAGCCTGGGTAGTGGAACTGCACTAAAGGGCGATGTCCAAGCCGGATCCGGCATTGAACTGGGCTTGTAGCCGAAACCAGCCTCTGCAGTCTCCAACCATTCTTTCCAGGGGCCCGATGCTTTCCGGCAACCACGAAACCGCTAGACACACACGCGCACACACATATATTTGTGTGCGAAGAATCTGGAAAGAATGCTTGCGTGTGGCTGGATCGGATTTTGGTTGGAAAGAATGCCAAGGCCAATGTTCTTTTTCAAAAGAGCGATGGTTGCAAAGGATGCAAGAGGTATCCAGCCATGGAATGCCTATTTTATTGAGCCCACTCATGGGATGTTAACGAAACCAGCCAGGTTCATGGCGGTTGACCAACCACAACTACGTATCAGTTCAATTTGGTATCACAGAAAGTGGCAACCCAAACCCTGTGCGGACAGGGTTTCACGTGCCAGCAACAGCGTGGTTGTTCTTTGCAGCCCACCACTAAACATCAACCATCCGAAAAAAGCAAAACAACAAGCCGCAAAGAACGTCGACCAAGAACGTAGGTCTCTTAAACTTTGTCCTTTTTTTGGGGGAGGGGGTCCCTTAAAACCAATCCAAAAAAAGCGTGCCCTCTTGCACCGCCCAAGGGTCCAGGCCGGCCAGGGCAAGGAAGATCCACAAAACGGGCCATGGCTTCGGACAGCGAAGTGGGCTGGCGGGGTTTGGTTTCCCTTGAAACTTCAAAAAAACGGCTCCCTCGAAAAGAGTCACGCCTTTGTTTGATTTTGGAGGAGTGTTAGATGCTCCCGCAGATTACCCTCATATTTGCCACACAAAGAAAGGACCAAGTTCCCCTAAAAACACCCGTTATAATTGGCTCTTGCCCCAAAAGCTAAGTCAGAACTCCCTCAAACGGCGCAGGTTTATTGGAGCCCCGGTGTCAACGCCGAATTTCGTATTGACCGCGTCTCGCATCGCCCTCGTACCATGCTGCAAGGACTTGGATCGCATTTGATTTCGACTCCGCACCACACCCTCCCTCGGAGGGTCATAGGTCTCCATTTCGGAGGTGGCTCCCTGACCCCTGCCCCACACTCAATTTTTTTTTCAATGTTTCCAAGGTTCAAAGGGCAGAGATCCTACCCTCAGCGTGTTTCGATGTAGAGGACACTGTGTATCTTGGTTGCCTTGACCAAAGTGACGCGAGTGCCAGAGTGCAAAAGGCTTGCCGGCCTGGAACAAAAGCCAGGTTCGCCGAGCAAGGTTCCCCTTCAAACCGGCCCCAAATTACGTGCAACTTCCCAGCCTCTTCCCATGGCCCAATCTAGTAGCTTTCGGCCTCCCAAAGAGAAGAAGTAGCTTTCCTGCGCCTGCGAAAGCGAACATGGGCTTAAAACATGTGTCTCTCCTGACTGCCCCACGCGCTTCCGTACATATTTTTGCATTTTTTCTCCGTGGACTGATGTCTAGAGGGGACCTACAAGCAACCCTGCAGGAACCTGGCGGCTTGTGGCGGGCAATTGGACCAAGGACCGCTTGCATCATGTTTTACCCACTGTGTGTGGCGTAAAAGCTGCAGCTGCTAGCCTGCAGTTGCGTGCCAAGCCCACCTGCCTGAGCCCTACTTGCAGTCATACGCATGCATCAACAGAAGGAAGGGTGTTAGCCCTTTCGCGCACCTTTCGCGATGCTTTCGTGGTCTAGGATTCATCAACGTACGTTTGACAACGATATTTCCTCCTGAATACTACTTTCAAACGTGGGGGTTTTAGACCGTCGCTCAATTGCTACTCATACAACCCATCCTGCCCATCAATGCACCCAAACACCGTGCATACTTCCATCTGTCTAGCTCTCGGTTGGTTGATTCCAGGTTTGGTTCGCAAACCGAACCCCCATCCGTCGCCATCCATCCACCTTACAAAACCCGTAGTCCAAAATGGCGTCCGTCTCCACTTGGGCTGCCCCGTCAACCCAGAGATCCCTGGCAGCTCACGTCTTTTGAAACTCTGCCTGTGTGCTTGGGGGTGGTGGGGGGGGGAGGGAAAGTTGCCCTCCCCTCTACCCACCCTCCTCTATAGCTTCCTAGCCTGGTCGCAATCCTGGGCCCATTGCAATCCGCAACGCGCTTAATCCTTGTTTTGTTTGGTAGTCTTCTTGATCCGTAATCCGCTGCAAACTTTGGATCAACACTGTATTTCGGAGCATGGAAGATCCGCAAGCCGCAGTGGGTGTTAGATTCTGAACAAGCTAGGCTTCTATGTACAGTGCGACTCGCAGTCGCTCCAATTCCATCATTCACCATGCGGAAGCAATGCTTCGACCAGTTCACCTGTCAAAACTCCATTGCGAAGTTACATCTGGGAGGGGTCGTTCTTGCTCTTTTCTTGGGAAACACGCATATCCCAGTTGCAAAGTTGGATGGTCAATGGAGCAATCAAGCTGTATGTGTGTATATATATATATGTAATTGCGCAAATGATCTACAACAAGTCCGGGAAGCCGCCAGCTAGCCAGTTTATAGTTGGGGGCATTCGGATTTAACTGTCAGAAGAAGAAAAAACCAGAATTTGTTAAAGACGGACTACTGCAAAAGCATTTGCTTTTGGTTGTGCTCATTGATCAAGAACGAAATCTAAGGGGCAATGTAGGGACTGCGGTTAAAGCTTGAGAAAATGGACATACGGTCCCAAAGTGGGTGTACTTTGCGATGGTTGACTGGGACATGTAGGGGCTCTGGTGAAAAAGCTTGTTGCGTGCTGTTGGCGCATGTTGTTTCTGTTGAATTCCGACCTGCGCTGATGCAATTGCCCACACCTATCAACTGCCCAAATAAGCATTGTAGGCTTAGCTGGAATCATGCCCTTTACAACGCCCTTTATAACCTGCAAAGGAGAGCACCAGGCGGCGCCATGGCAGAGTTGCATGCGAATTTAGCGGATTGCGCCCGTGCCACTGCTGGGGGCCCCGCAATTAATTGCTTGGCCCGAACCCACAGCCCACACATGCGCTGTCACTAGACGGGTACGCTCAAGTTGCGCAATCCTCGTGGATTCTAGTTGAAATTGCCCAGGAAACCGGAGGCCGCCCTAAAGTTGCGCATCACCTAGGATACCTCCCGCGACCTGCGACCCGCGACCTGCGACCCGCGACTCGCGACAGGAGGGGGGAAAGGGAGCGGGCTTGGCGTGTCCAAACGAAGCCGAACCATTCATGTTCAAGCCATGGGTCCAAATCCCGGCGCCTCGAGCACCACGGAGGATCCGCCGAGGATCTGCCGGCGTGGGGAGCCTGAACGCTTAAATGGGGGAGCGCACGGATAGAGAAACGGGCAAGAGATGAAAAGGCTGGGCTGTGAATGTAGATGGTTCAGACTGTGTCGAACGCAAGCCGAAAGGCCATGTTGGTCCAAATCCCGACGAGACTCTTCGTGGCTTGTGCAAAGAAGCAGAAGGCCACCGTTCTAGCCGTCCCCCGTCTCCAGTCTCTCCGGAGCCATGTCAGCGACATGGTTCGAGGGACAAACTGCTCATTGATCATTTCCGGCAAAGTGACAAATAAAGAGAATGTGGGTATTTACGCCAACCCTTCATCTGCCAGAGTCTCATGCCACCCTTTGCGCCATGTACGTTTCACCTGACTCGAGCGGTTTAGGCGAGGGGTGCTCTAAAGACCCGTGCAGGGAAATTTGGCGCCGGGAAGTCTATCCAAATGTGCTCTTGTCTTTGAGGGAGGAAAAGAACAACATGAGCGGAAAGTCACGGTTCATTGGCCACGGGGAAAAAAGTGTTGCTGGCTCCAAAAGGGGAATCAAGGCCTCGGGGTGTCGGGGTGTCTGTCCCTTGTGCTTCAGCATTCTCGCCCCCGTCGATTCGTCGATTCGCCCGGCTTCGCCTTGCGTGGAATCGAGGCATTGCAGGTAGGCCGCGCTGCAGCTCGGCCTCGGAGTCATCGACACGCCAAAATAAACTCGCTTCCGACCAAGTCGAAGGCTCCTGACTTTGACTTGCCACAGCTGGCTGCGCTTGGGTCTTGAGTGGTTCCAGGGAACTGGGCGTGTCCCAACAAAAAGCACTGAACAAATTCCCGATTTCGGACTTGCACTCGGCACACTTTGTGTCTCTCGCTCTCTCTGTCATCGCGGCACTTCGGCAGCTTTCAAAAAGGCCAGCTGGCCATTGCAGACTTTGATTCCCGCTGGGTTGGCAACACTTCGCAGAAGCCAACGCGGAACAGGAGCCGTCACTCCTTGGCCAATTGAACTGAGGATCCATAAAAAAAAGGGAAAAGTGCGCTGGCAAGGCAAAGAAAGACAATTTCCGACGTGGAGCATCACTGCATCACTCAGCGCCTCTGCACAGCTCGTTTGATCCAAAGCAAACCTAGGCCTCAGCTTCGCCGCGGCCCAGCTCCGCGTCAGGCTGGTCGGAAGCGACACTGCCAAAGGTCACCAAGCCAAAGCTCGGGAGCTGGAGCATCTCCAGCGGGCCGTCTGGCTCCAACCTCACCTCGTACAAGTGCGTGCGCTCCTCGCATTCTTTTCGCACCGAGTTGAGGGCAGCTCCGACGGCCAACCCGCTCGAAGTCAGGACCCTGTTTGCCTAGACCTACACCTCCAAGCGACAACTCAACAAGCTATTGGACCAGCTCCTGTTATGTAAACGTTGCATCTTGACTAGTTGGCCTGGTGTTGCGCAAGCCGAACAGGCGGGACCTTCATGACAAATGTTTGTTTGCCAAGAAATGGTTGGATTTGGGCGGGACACCGTCGTGTTCGCAAGCCTTGTTGTGGCCCGAACTTGGCAATCGGAGCCAGCAGTTCTGAGTGTAGACAGAGGATAGATAAACCTATTCCCAATCATGCACTTCGCTGGGGTCGGACAACTTGGGTCTAAAAATACCATGCACCCCTTCAAACGGAAACCTACAAGACTATGTTGAAACAACGCAGTTGCGAATGTCCAGGCATGCTTCAGATGGCGTGTCGGCCAACCCGATTTGGGAAGCCCCTCCTGTCGGCTGGTGACCTTGGTCAACTTCTGCTGCTTGCCACCCACCAAGACCGTGTTGCCCACCCTGAGCTGGTCTGCGCGCTCCGCCTCGCAAGCTTCGCCTCGCAAAATCAGCGGCCATAAGGATTTTAAGCATCGTTTGCTGTTCGCCGTTTTGTCGTCTCGTCGTTTGCCAGGATTCTTTCGGGCCGAGATAGTCGGGGGCGGTGCTTTTTTCTGAGGTGTACGCGGCTCATTTTGCGTTTTGGTTGCTGCTTGACCACCATCTTCCTGCTTACTTCCTGCTTCACTTGAAAAACCAGGGAATGGAAACTGCCCAGGGTGTTGTGCTGCTCAAGTGAAAAGTAATTTAACGCGCAAAGCAGGAGGAGATGGATTGGTTGAAGGCGCAATCAGGGTTCCTCTTCAAGGGGCAAGCATGACTTTCAGTGCGTATGTAGAGCAAAGGTGGTTGAAGCAATCTTTGAACGGATGTTTTCGTACTCGGAGCGTAAAACGGAGTCGAAACATCAGATCGCAAACCCCCAATCAGATGTGCGCCTTCAGACGCCAACGAAGGTACTGCCACGCGGTGAGACTTGGACACGGTAGAGAGCCCTTGGCGCGTAGTGAGCTCCACCAAGTTGTAAGGCTTCTTCTTGGCGCGGTGCAAGCGCATGCCCGCCACGGAGGCTTCGGTCTGGTCCAGCAGCCGCGCGGTCCCCGATCTTCAAGTTCTCCACTCGCAGCAAGTGGCCGTCCACGCCGTGCAAAGCCGTGTTCGGCAGAAAGCACTTGACCGAGCGGCTGCTGGTGTCCGAGTACATGTCTGACTGGTCACCAACAAGAGTAAATGAGTCCACTGCATCCTCCGAAGCCGGGGTTGCACCTGAGCCATGCTCTTGTGATCCCTCGAAATCTCAATCTTTGGAAACCAACAGGCCTGGACCTTCATCAGCTTGAGGATCGCTGTCAGAGCGGCTGAAGGCCTTGGAAAAATCAAAGTGTTTCCCGCAGCTCCGCTTGAAGCATGACAGTCACATCCTCGGAAACTAGGCGCCCCTAAACTAGGTGCACCAGCAAAGACATGTTTAATTCAACTGAAAACCTAAGCACTTCAGAATTGATGGCACCTTCAGAACCCCCAAGCTCGCTCACTGTGAGAGAAAACACGGCTCATCGACGACCACGGTGACCATATCCGTTTTCTTAAAGCACAATCTCCAGCTGGGGTGCCAAAAAGGCGTCGCACTGCTCCTTCAGCTGCAAGATGCACCGTGTCATCTCTGACTTCTGCGCCTTCTGGGTCAGCAAAGCCATCCTCTGCTGCAGAGTCTCATTCTCTTTCTGCAAATCCTCGACTGTCTTCATCTCCTCTGCCTTCTGCTGCGCCAGCTCGCCCAGCTGTTTCTGCAAGTTTTGCACGATCTCCGCCTGCTGCTTCTCCGTCTCAAGCTGCTCCATCAGCGAATCAATCCTCTGGTGCAATGCCTTGTTCTCATGCTGAGCGGACTCGACTTTCTGTGTTTCCTCTTGGCGCTTGGACTCGTCCAGCTGCTGCTGCAATTTCTGCTTCTCCTGCTGGATCTCCGCCTTCTGCAGCTTCTCCGTCTCAAGCTCCGCCGTGAGCTGGTCGATTCGGGCTTGGAGTTGCGCGTGGGCGGGCGGCGGGCTCTGCAATGTTCCAGGCCCAGGCGGGGGAAGCAAGCAGACATCGAAGCGGCCCACAAATGCTGAATTCGTGTACAGCGCCAACTGCGGCTCGGGGCTTTCGAAGGTCGCCTGCAGCACCAGCTCTCCCCGCCCGCCTCCGCCCACAGCTTCCAGCGCCCCGCGGCCTTCTCCCAGCGCAGCCGCACCGCGCCCGGGAGGTCGTGGCGCTGCTCTCGGCCGCTCGGCAGCAGCTCGCGGACCCAGCGGCGGCCGAGCGAGTCAAAGACGACGTCCGCCACGAGCCTCGACTCCGCCCCAGGCCGCAGCTCGCAGAGCTGAGCCCAGCCCGTCCCCAGCTTGGGGCGCAGCTCCAGGCCCGCGGCGCCGCTCGCGGGCCACGGCGCCGTGGAGCGGCAGCCGTACTCGTCCACGTCCTCCGCCTGCCACGCGAGCTCTGAGGGGGCCATGGCTTGGACGCTGTGAGAGGCGAAAAAGCGGGAACTTCTGAGACTTTTGAAGCCGAAATCTGCTAAAAGCCGAATCCAAAATCAGCCGCAACAAGTGACAAACGTACTCCAAAATCAAAAAAACTGCTTCCGAGTGCCAAGTGTATGTCAGAGGCTGACACCCTGCGTCCCTCAGCTCAGGGCCCCGGCCCAAACGGCGCGCCCTGCGTGCTAGCTGGAAGCCTCGAGGCCGGGCGGCTGGGCAGTCCAAAACTGACCGGGAGCTTCTGGTTCATGAAGAATTTGTGTTTGCTTCGCTTGACACGGCAGTAGCTCTGACCCTCTCACGACACGCTTCCGTGCCGAACCTAAAAGAAAGCCTGATAGACTCAACATGGCATCCTAGTGCGCCGAGAAGCTGTGGCTCTAAGGCGGGCTGGTTGCCCTCAAAAATGAATCACCGGTCAAGGGGATCCTACGCTGGGTTTTGATCAATACATATTGTTGACAGCCTATTCCTTTGGTCTATCGAACCAGCTCCTGGGAGTTCCTTTCTTCCTTCGTTGGAGACTGCGTTTTGTTCATGTGAAACCGAAGCACATATATATATATATATATATTAAGAGAGACACGTCTTTGGAGCTCCTTTCTTGTTCCTTCCTTGGAGACTGTGCTTTCCTGATGTGGAATCTATCTGTTTGGCTTGTGAAACTGAAAGGCTTCTGAAACTGAAACACACAAAAATAATAGAATCGGGTAGAGCCATAAATCAAGACAAAACAATCCGGTGTGAATAGTTAAACCTGTGTAGTCGAACTACACCTTTAATGCTTTGAAGGAGGAAAAAACGCCCCGAGGTTTGCAAGTTAGCCCAAACTGCTCGTGCACACGGACGTGCTGAGGCGGCGGTCCGGCCGGGTAAGCCCTGGCAGAGAAGCCGAGAGCCGGGCACCGGCCAGGGGCGAGGTGGCGGAAGAGGGAAGATCCTGAGGTGAGTGCATCAACCAGCGGCGGCAAGGTCGGTGAGGAGCTGAAAGTCACCGAGAGCTCTCAGGCTGTGCCTGGCTGATGAGTCCGTGGTGGAGGTGGAACCGAGCTTTACGGCATCCAGGCAAAGGAGCGCTTCAGAGCAGAGCTCTACGGCATTCAAGCATGGGAGTACTACAGAGCTCTATGAGGGGGACCGGCAAGGGTTCGGGGGCACCGGATGGACTGCCGGTCCCGGAATCGGGTGATGAGGAGCTGGTCAGGACGCCTTTGAGGGCGGAGGAAGATGCAGCGAAAAGGAGGAGAGCCAGCGCCTTCATGACGCCTCAAAAACGGGCGGATGAGAAAAGGGAGCATGCTTTGCAGGCGGTCAAGGACGACCTGATGAAGGTTGGAGGGGATGGACCGGAGCAGGGCTGTCGCAGCAAGGTCCTTCAGCGGAAGGTGGAGGTTGGGATGGTGCGGGTAGGAGCTGAGCCGGGTGATCGAAGAGTACGGCGCATGAAACTGGCGGAGGCTTCGCGGCAGCGAAATGAGCTGCGACAGAGCTGGAGAAGATCGTGGTTGAGGCAGAGGCGGAGCAGGAGGATGGCGGAGCTGTGGGTCACGGGCACTTCAAGCCTCCACCGCCAGCTGGAGATGACCCGGGTTGCACTAGAGTGTCGGACCCACCTCCGTGACCATGAGTGGCCGAATCCGGAAAACGTCTGGGTCATGGATGGTGTGAGTTACAAGCCAGCATGGAGGAGAAGCCGGCTGCAAGCAGCTCGAGGTGGACAAGGATGTGGGTGATGCCTGGAAGGAGGAGAGCCCGAGAGAAGGCGCTAAGCAAAAGGAGGATGAGAGGGCTTCGACAACCCCGGCACCCCTCAGGCCGGAAGTCAAGGAGATGCCCAATGAGAAGGGGAGCATCCAGCTCTGGGGGGGCTGAGGGGTGACCAACACCATCATGCTGGAACTGCTCAAGAGCCGATGAGCGGAGGTGATTGCAGGGCTTTGAGGTGCTCCATTCAGACCAAGGACGAGAGCTGGTGTCAACAGGCTGAGGAGGTGGGCAGTGAGCCACGGGCTGCACAGGACGCTGTTGAGCCCAGATGAGCCGCATGCAAATGGTCGGGCAGCGGAAGGCCTGTGGCACGTTGCAGGCGGTGGAGATCAGGAACCGGGCGATCGGAGGAGCATAGAGGTGTCCTTGGACCCGAGTGGGTAGGGGTCTGGCGAAGAGACAGGTGGTTTGGTCTCAGGAGAAGTCAGCTGAAGCTGAGGTTGGTGATGCTGCAGGACTGTCATGGAGAACGAGGCCGCTCAAGATCCGGGTCAGGTCGGCCAGGCGCTAGACATCGGCACCAAGGCCTTGGGAAGCTCTCGCTTGAGAGCGGAGAAGGAGGAGGACCTCATAGTCGGGGAGAATGCCGCGGGCACGAAGCGAGGCCTGAAGATATTGATGGGTTTTGTTTGTGTGTGAAGCTGGCTGACGCAGCTGGCATGGAGGATGAGGAGGCTTCCAAGGAGGGCCGTGAAGTGGATTGCGAAAAGGGCGGCAGGGCTGGTGTCGAGCCGGCACAAGGCGGAGGACTGCGGGAGTACGTCAACTACCGGAGGAGGAGCGAAGATCAAGGAGATGAAAAGGTAGGAATGCAGGCAGGATGTAGAGCCTGCTGGAGAAGGAGGTGGAAAGCGAAAGCTCTTAAGAGGAGCGAGAGCGGATTGCGAGAAGGGGAAAAAGGGCGGCAGGCTGCGGAATGGCTTGAGAGAAAGGAGGGCAGGGCAGGGGGTTCGAGTAAGAGAAATGCGGGCAGGAATGAGAGGGGTTGCGGTCCGAAGTGGAAGGTGTCCTTGGATGTGGAGGAAGCAGTGATATGGAAGTCTCCCCGGGCAAAGTCTTCCCGGGCATCATGAGTGAGCCGGTGGGGACAGAGGACCGCTGGCTGGAGAAGGAGGACTTCTACATCAAGATGCACTGCCGCAAGCGGGTCTCGGAGTTTGATCGGGCCAGCCAAGAAGATCGGGCCGGAGCGCATCACCGTCATGAGGACGAGTGGACCGATCTTTGTGCTGAGCGGTGACTATGAGGCGGGGTCCCGGTCTGGGTTGAGACTTCACGGGCTACTTCATCTTCAGGAAGGAGAAGAGATTGCCGCAGTGAGGGGGGTCTTGAGCTGTGAATAGAAAGAGAGGACATAGCGTCCGACGTGTCTCCTTTTGGTCGGCACAAAGTGCCTGTTGGCGTCCTGGAGCCCCGATGGGAACAGATATCAAATGCTGCAAATTGTTACCTTGTATTCTGTTGGCGTTATGTCCACGCCTTCAAAATTTGACACCTTCACCACTTTCGGAAGGCCCAATAAATTGCTCCAGCCGACAGGACCTTCTGTTATCTCGTTGAGCAGAACCACCACATGAGAACGAATCCCACTGATTTAATGAGCTTCCGTTTTGTGTTTGGTGTCTCTGGATTTCCTTTCAGGCGCTGCTTGATGCTTTCGGCAAAAAGATGCAACCGGGAAGGGGGCGAAGGATCCCAAGCGGTCAGCGCGAGCACCCGAGCGCTTGCCTCGGCTCGCCACTCGCCGTTGCCTGCGCGCGCAAGGCGCATCGTTCGGCTCAACGAAAACGGCGCCTGCGGCCCTCTGGCTGCATGTCTTCAGCTTTGTCGGTTTGGGTTGGTGGTTTGGAGGTTAGGGGTGGATGCCAAATCCGCCGACATTGCTCGGCGTGTCGGATACTTACTAGAGGATAGAGGATAACCCCCCCCCTAACCCCCCCCCGCCCGACGTCTATTACGTAGGTTTTTGGGGGGGGGGGGGGAAAAATACATAAAATGGCACTTGTAGCATCAAAACCAAATAATCAAACAGCATACAACAAAATCGGCAAAATTCACAGAAAACAAGATAAGAACCACCAAGCAACTAAAAAACCAGAACAACCCCCAACAAAATATTTAATCAAAGCATAAAACATTAAATAATTCAAACAAGCATACCAACAAAACAGCAAAAATAAAAACCATCAAAGAACCCAATCTCAAAAACACGCAAAATCAAAAACAAAGCAACATACCATCAAAAAATATCAGAAGAGTATCAAACAAAATAAAATACAAACAGCCAAAGCACGAAAAAATCAAAAGAGCATGCCAAGTTCAAACAACGCACTTTGAAAGAGATAACCAAATCAAGAAAAAATAAAATATTTCAATCTTTACAAACTATAAGTACAGTATAATTATAACATATAAGATTTTACATGTTATTATTATAGTATGATTACAATTTCAGTACAGGATAATAATTTAATTGACAAATCTTTCTTCTTTCATACATCATTTTAAAAATAATATTAATATCTCTCAATGTATTTTGAATATTAAACTTTTTACTTTCAATAAATAATTTGATATTTTCTTTAACATCTTCTCCTTTATCTTGACTATAACACAACAACCATAATATATCATCCATCATTTCATATTTTTTCTTACTAATTTTAAGAAACTGTTTAACATAATCATAAGGTGGTATTTTATTTACAGTTAGAAATATTAAAATATCATCTTCTACATTTCTATGTCGAATTCTTTTTATTCCCAACAGACATCTGATTAATTCTTGATAATATCTCCAATTTCTACAAATTTTACATAAATCTTCTTCATCCATTGAATAATTAATAATATTATTCACTATTTCATTAGGTAAATTTAATTTATACAATTCCATATTTTCTTTTTTGAAGTGGCAACAATCATAGCATTTTTTATTGATATAATTATTGATTTTATCACCGTTCATTTTCCTCTTATTATATTAAGGTTTTAAATCTTTAAGTATATTTTCTAAAAAGTCACTTAAAGAAATAAACACATTAAATTTATATAGTATAGTATTATGAAACATGTTATAGATTATCTGTTGAATAATGATAAAGCAGAAATTCCAAAAAGAGGAAACAAGGAATTAAAATCAATAATTATAGATGGTAGAAAATTTAGATACAACAAAGAAAAACCCATCTCAAATGTTTTGAACAAG